CTGGCAGCATCTGTGAAGGAAAAAAATCAGAGTTAACATTTCGGTTCTGAGGAAGGGTCACCGGACCCGAGACGTTAATTCTGATTCTTTTCTTCACAGATGCTGCCAGACCTGCTGAGCTTTTCCAGCAACTTCTGTTTGTGTTCCTGATAGTTTAACTTTGCTGAAATAGGGAGAGACGGTGGTGCACATTGGTAAAGGACTAAAGCCAACTCGAGGCTTGGTGCCAACATGAACTGGATTGTAAGGACTGTTAGTCTGAACTTCTTATTTCTTTTACTTTTCTAATTTACTCCTATGATCTGTATAGCTGGACTTTTTATTTCTTTATTTTTCTAATTTTTCCCCCGAAGAATCTGTACTTAAGAATCAGTACCTCGGTACCTTTGTACATAAGATGGCACTGTAAATGTAAACTTTTCACTGCAATCATTTGAGTACATGGGACAAAAAAACTAATTCTAATTCTAAATGGCACTGGCCTCATAAACCAGCGATCCAGCTCAAGATTCTTGATGGGGGGAGGGGATGTGGTCAAATCTCACAGTACCTGGTGGAAATTAATTTCAATTACAAATAAACTGAAAGTCTTAGTGATGGTAATCATGAAGCTATTATCAATGGTTGTTTAAAAATCCGTCTGGTTCATCAGTGTCCTTTAGTGAAGGAAATCTGGCCAATATGGGTCTCCAGATCGTAGCAATGAGGTTGACTCTGAAATAGGCCTCACAAGCCACTCAGTCAAATACCAGTGACACCCGCAACTCATGAAAAGAAACAGAATGAACCAGCTTTCGGTGAAAAGGACACTTTCAATTAAAACTAATTGAGTGATGTGTGTTGGGTTTTTTGTAAGGATAGACTTGGGATGGTCATTTAGAACAGTCACTGCTGGTTAAAATAAAATTCCAGTGAAACACAACCCTCACCATGTAGCTGCTGTTTATTTCGTTCCCTGAGTTACAAAGTTTTACTCACCTCAAAAAGTTCCAGTATCATTTTAATGGTCCGTGTTACTGATTGTACAAAAATAACAATTTGAACAAATTTCGAAGGGTGGAACTAGTGCAAGATAGCCAAACAAAATACCTTTTCAGGCAAAAGGTGTGAGGCTTTAACTCTGGGAAATTGTATTCTATTCCTGCCTCTGACTTGAACCAGCGAGACGCGAGCAGCACTGTACTCTTGACCCGGTAACACATTAAACTACCTGTAACTTCTAGAGCGTGGCAATCCTCCGACATAGATCGGATCTTTGTGCCCACGATTGAGATCGGAAGCAGTTCCTGGTGACTCTCCTTGCTTGGTTTCCCGATCCGTTGAATTAAATGGGTCCATGACAGCCAAAATACCTGTGAACGTTCAAAATAATGTGTCAATCAAGGTGACCCTGGAACTGAGGTTCCTAGGTTTGTGTCTCTGATGTCAGTGGTCAGCCTGCTGTCCTTCTTGCTTGGGGCATACAAGGGTAAATATGTCCTGGTCTGATCACTGGAGAGTGAAGTCTGACAGGAAATATGACAGAAGTGTTAATGGACAGATAATAGCCTACTGGTATTATCACTAGACTATTAATCAGTTCTGAGGAAGGGTCACCGGACCCGAAACATTATCTCTGTTTTTCCCTTTACAGATGCTGCCAGACCTGCCGAGCTTTTCCAGCAACTTCTGTTTTTGTTATTAATCCCAGCAGTCCAGGTAAATGTCGCAGGGACCCAGGTTCAAATCCCACCATAATGGAATTCAATAAAAAGTCTGGAATTCACATATTAATGATGATCACAAAACCATTGCAAACTGTTGGAAGAAAATCCATCTGGTTCACTAATGTACTTAAGGGAAGGAATCTGCCATCCTTCCCTGGTCTGGCCTACATGGGACTCCTAGCAATATGGTTAACTGTCCTCTGGGCAAATGCCTACATTCTGTGAATGAATTAAAAAATATAGTATTTTAAGCAGCAATTATGGTCCTATAGTTGAATACCTGCTGACAATTAGTTTCTGGATTCATATACACTGACTAAAAATATCTTTGAAGTTGGAATTTGACTGTGGGTTTATTCTCTGGGTAAACAATTTATGGGAAATTTGAAACAAACAGAATATACTATTGTTTGGTTGCACAGAACTTGAGTATTGGACTCTTCAGGACAATTCACAAGAATACCAAATGAAGGGGGAAAACCATTGATACTGCATGAAAGAGGTGCACTGCTTGTTAGAAGCATCATCACGTCTCACTTTCAGTACAAGACTAGGCTGCATGATTCATGAAGAAAAGCTACTAAATAATATTTACAGTGGCAGCAGGTTACTGGCATGTGTGAGACAAAGATATTTCGAATATTCCATGCTCCAAGAAGACAGACTCACCCTAAAGGAAAGGGAGCATATTGTCATCAATATTGTAGTATACTATTTTGCATATTATAGTTAATAGAGGGTAACATGGGCATCAAGTGAATGCGTTTCTTTTGTAGCAGCTGATTGAGAAGATCCGCAGTGTTAATTGTAAATCTTCCAGTTTTGAAACCACACTGGTGTTCAGGGTTGATGTGTTCAGCATCTGACACAGGCAGTAAGGGCAAATACTGGTCCCTTAATGCTCACATGGAGATGCCTCAATCATTGTTACCAACACTACAGTTACCCTTCTTCCTCTCCAGGGTCACCCACTTAAACACCAAACAATAATTAGAAAAATAATTGGAAACAAGTTTGGTCAGAAATGTAGATTGACCTTCTTGGAATAATACCAAGGATTATTAAAGAAAATTCATACAGGGGATGTAGGGATGGCATGGCGGCTCAGTGGTTAGCACTGCTGCCTCACAGCACCAGGGACCTGGGTTCGATTCCACCCTCAGGCGACTGTCTGTGTGGAGTTTGCACATTCTCCCCATGTCTGCGTGGGTTTGATCCAGTTTCCTCCCACAGTCCAAAGATGTGCAGGTTAGGTGGATTGCCCATAGTGTCCAGGGATGTATAGGCTAGATGGGTTAGCTTGGGAAATGCAGGGTTACAGAGATAGGATAGGATAGGGGTGGGATGCTCTTTGGAGGGTTAGTGTGGGCTCGATGGGCTGAACTATCTGCTTCCACACTGTAGAGATTTTACGACTCTGTGGGCATCACTCAGCCAGTCTTTATCACCCATCTCTCGCTTTCCTTGAATGTCGGAGGCTGAGGGGTGACCTGATAGAAGTTTACAAAATCGTGAGAGGCATGGAGACAATGGATAGTTGGAGTCTTTTTCCCAGGGTAGAAATGTCAATTACTAAGGGACACAGGTTTAAGGTAAAAGGGAGAAAGTTTAAAGGAGATGTCAGAGGCAGGTTTTGTTTTACACAGAATGCGGAAAAGTGGCTGGAATGCACTGCCAGCGGACATGCAGACACAATAGCAACATTTTAAAGGCATCCTGACAGATACACGAATAGGCAGGGAATAGAGGGATAGGGGCCATGTACAGGCAAGAAGTGTTTAGTTTAGAAAGGCATATGTTGGTGCAGGCTTGGTGGGTCAAAGGGCCTGTTCTTATGCATATTGTTCTTTGCTCTTTGAGTAATTTGCTAAGACCATTTCAAATCAACCACAGTGCTGTGGGTCTGGAGTCACACGTAGGCCAGACCAGGTGAGGATGGCAGATTTCCTTCACTACAGACCGTGCGTGAACCAGATGGGTTTTCAAAAGTGATTGACAATGGTCACCATTAGGCTAGCTTTTAATTCTAAATATCGAATACAAATTTCACTGTCTGCTACGGTGTGATTTTAACCTATGTCCTGAGAGCATTAGCTCTGGATGACCAGATGCAGTGACATTATGAGATGTCACTGCCTCTTCTGATCAGGGAGTCCAGATGAAACAACAGAATAGACTAGGGTAAGCTACTCATTTGAAGTTCCACTACACAGCATTCTCCAGAAATAGGGATTTATAAATCTTTATTAAACCTAACGAGAAACACAAGCTCATTGGCTGATTAAGAAAACTGTTTTCTTACCTAGCTTCCGGTTGCGCTGAAATGCAATTTTAAACCATGTTCCATTGTTGTACCGTTTCTCAGACATAAGGGTGAGAACTCCAGACCCAAGGTCAAAGGTCACTCGCACTTTCCCATCTGCCAGCTCTACTGCTAAGAAGTCTCTCTGGTGAAGGGTAAAAAGGAAAAAGTTTAGGGACTTTGAACTTTCCGCATGAGAGCAATAAAAGGAACATTCTTGAACTCCCCTTCCACGTGGACATTCTGTGGTTGTCTCATTTTTTTTTGTTTTGTTTTGTGGAGGAAGCAGCGAAATCTACAGAACACTTCATCATAAGCAAGACCCAGTTCACCCTTTCCACTCCTCCATTCACAAAACTCCGCCAGGTACTCCGAAACTGAGCTTCCCTGACAAGGATGAAGGTAGGAGCGCTGTTCTTTAGATGTCTCACAGAGATTTCATTGTGTGGGGAAGCCTATTAAAGAGATTCTGAACAGGGTTGACCTGCCTCAGACAGAGCAGTGTCGCAATGTTCACGACTAAAGAAGCATTCCACACTCACAGTTTGTTAAAGACTTTTCACCAGGCTGTATTTGAACAAACTAGTCTGCATCATTGTTCAAATTACACAAAGATAACGTCACCACAGTCTTGTTCTCTCTTTAGAGAGAGACGACTGGTGATGGTTTAACCTGAGGGGTCACCACACCTCAGGTGAGGACAGAGGTTGAGAAGGAGAGTCCTTCATGGCAACCTCAGCCAGTAGGAGAACTGAGCCCATGCTGTTGGTGTCACACTGCATTACTAACTGGCTGTCCAGCCAACTGAGCTAACTGACACCTGACATAATGCAGATCCACTCCTGATACTGCAAAATCGTCAAAGGAAATTCACCCAAAGGAGCGACCAACCAGAGAAAGGTTGTCTTCTCGAGTTGAATGGAGGGAGCTGCTCCTCCCTTCTCTCCTGTCATGTGATAGGCTCAGAAACATGCAAGAGAAACAAATTTTAATTCGTGAGGGCAACGCACAGGATAAGTAAGTGTCAGCTGGTGAGTTTTTGTGAAGACAGCCAGGTCAGAAGGGGAGCATCAGAGCAGGGTCCTGGAGCTGAGAATGGGGGCTTAAGACCTGGGTCCTGGGGCTGGAAGTGGGGGGATTTCAGAGCAGTTTCAGAGCAGCTGGAACTGGGGGCTAAGTGAGAGGCCAGAGCTTGATGCAAAAGCCAAGTGTTTCACTGAGGCCAGGAGGGAAAGTCAGGAGACACCTTTCTGTTGAGGAGGCCCTCTGCCGATCAGGTCCAGGAGGGGTCAGGCGCTAGAAGAAGATTATGAGGGTGAAGGAATACTGCAGTGGGCTAGGAGGAGGGGGAGCATGCAAGAGGGAGATGCCTCAAGGGAATGGGTGAAAGGGGAGTGGGAGAGAGTGGGGGGAGGCAGCAAGGGATTGGGAAAGAGAAGGAGGCTTCAAAAGTAGGAGGAGAGAGAGACTGCAAAGAAAAGGGGTCAATTTCAAACCTGGTGTCAAGGAAACACTGCAAACTCGGAGCTAGGGAAACCTGAAATCTCTCGAGGTAATGAATGACTTGTGAGTGAATGTGGAATCTCTAGTTTAATGCTGCATATGTTTAGGCACTACCGTATTGGCAAAATTCAATTGATGCAATTGTAATCAATTGTAAATTTAAATTTAAAACTGAGACCTGAGATGCAATAAGGTATAGTAAGGATGTGGTTAAGATATTCCAGCTTTGCGAATATGCAATGAGAATGCATTATTTGTGACCACACCAAGGGAGTGGTATTTTTTTTTGTTTGCAAAAGTGTTTATCAATGAAAGAAAAACATTGTTGCTAACTGATGCCTGCTGTCTTGTGCCAATTTTAATACCATGGTGTCTGAGCTAATGCTTCCATTGTGTGTTGTGACTTTAAACTTAATGTAGATTTGATCTCGATTGAGGGTAGTCTTCAAATTTACCTCTGTGTGAGTTCAAATCCAAGAATGTTATTTTGTGACTTCATCGTCTAATAAAGGATTTAGGGAGAATGAAAAAGTAGCCACTGAAAACTGAAAGATTGTCCCCAGAATGCAAAAGTTAGCCCTCAATAGGAGACCTTGAAAAATAAATTACATATTATGCCCCATGTATACTTTGATCTTCCTTTGGGTCAGTTAATTGTCAATTGCCTGGTAACTGCTCAGCAGAGCATTACTATGGATGAGAAGCTCCCTCAGTGTGGGAAATAGCTTGCTCCATCTCTCTCCAGAACAGTGTGCTGTACCATCCGATAATTGTTCTAAAGGACAAAATTGCCGGTTTACACAATGAACAGGCAAGACAGCAGTACAGACAAAGGTAGTAAGATGCAAAAGTTGAAGGCGGTGTGAACGAACCTGTCTCGAGTTGCTACTGAATTGTTCTCAGAATGCTTTCAGCTTGTACTCTAAGAACCATTGAGCAAAGTACAAACAATTGCCTGAGAAAGATCAATTAGTTGTGTGGTAGTACAAAATTTGACTAAAAAAATACATTTTGCTGAAACTTTTACTCATCAGGACAGTTCACAAGAATACCAATTCAACAGGAAAACAATTACACTGAATTCTCCCACACAGTATAAATATTAGATTCCCTTTGAATTGGTACTTTTGGGAGTTACCCTGAAGAGTACAAAGTGAAAATCATCAACCCATTGTCTTTTACATTAACACTGAAAATCAGACAATAAGGATTTAAGATTTTAACAGCTCAACATTTGCAGTGGAAAGAAATGGAATGATCCTTCAAGAATGATTTCTCGTTCACCCGTACAGAAAGGGCTAATAATGTAACAACAAACTGCATTGTGCTTACGGTCCCATTTGAAGCGAGGTACAGGAGCAAGCCATTTGGTGAGAATGTGCTAAATTGCATCACTAGCTGGGTTGTTGTGGAACGTAGCACCTTCTCGACTGCTGAATAGCCACTGCCATCAAAGTGGAAAGCAATGTCTTCATTCTGTGACCTGCAGAATACATACAATGTATATCTACAATAAATCCTTTCCACCCGGTGTACATCATAGATTGATATCTTCACACAGAGGTGAAATTCTATTGGTGAGATACAACAAACCACTTTCGCCTGCAATAAAATGTCAGCTTTTTCATTTTGGCAAGAAGGATAGAGGAGCTGAATATTACTTAAACAGAGATAGTCTGCATAAAACTTCAGGATAGTGGGATTTGGGGTCCTCCTGCACAAATTATGAAATACTAGCATCTGAGTTCAACAGGTAATAAGGAATGGAAGATTAAATAGAATGTGAGCCTTTATTTGAAAGGAAATGGAATATAAAAACAGTGAAGTCCTGCTAAAGCTACATAAGGTCATAAGACCACAAGAAATAGGAACAAATGTAGGCCATTCGGCCTTTCACGCATGCTCCATCATTCAATAGGATCATGGCTGATCTGACATTCCTCCCATCCACTTTTCTGCCTTTTCCCCATGACCCTTATTCTCCTCCTGATCCAGAATCTGTTTATCTCAGCCTTAAACATATACAAGCTGTCCATAGCAAGGTGGTCTAAAGACTCTCAACCCTCAGAGAAGAAATTTCCCCTCATTTTAGTCTTAAATTGTCACCAGTTCTAAGGAAAGGTCACCGGACCCGAAACGTTAACTCTTGATTTTTTTCTTCATAGATGCTGCCAGACCTGCTGAGCTTTTCCAGTCACTTCTGTTTTTGTTGTTAAATTGTCACTCCTTTTATTTTGGGATGATGCCTTCTGGACCTAGACTCTCCAATGAGGGGAACCATTCTCTCAGCATTTATCCTGTCAAGCTCCTTAAGAATCCTACATGTTTCAATGAGATCACCTCTTATTCTTCTAAACTCCAGTGAGTAGAGTCCCAATGTGTTTAGCCTTTGCTCATAAGACAATCCTTCCATACTGGAGACCTTCGTAGTGAACCTTCTCTGAACTGCCATTAATAAGTAATATCTATCCTTATAAACAAGGACCAAACTTGTCACAGTACTCCAGATATGGCCTCACCAGCACCTTCTTAGCTAGTGGAGCAGCAAGTCTGAATGTGGTCAGGTGCCACAGCCTTTGCATTATCTAACGCCTGCATATGTTTCTTGATTTCACATTGAATGAATCAAATTGGCTGAAGACTGACAACATTCAAATGTGGTTTGGCAGGTGGAGAAAAAATACATTCCAGAAATCTGAGATTGAAATAAAAACTACTTGAAGTTTATAACAGTTCAATGAGCATCTGAAAGTGAATGAGAGATGAATGTTTGAACCATGACCCATTTAGACAACCGGTGATGTGCACAGTTCAAAAAGCAATCCAGTTTTCTCTGTCAAAGGCTAGTTAAAATACGGTGCATTTTATTTCTTATTGATATCGTTATGTTTATCTTTGTTAAAATGAATGTGTAAACTATTAGTATAACTAGTTCTGGTTTAAACAACACATTTTTACCATGGCGTGCCGCCTTTTACGAACGGACATAAAATATATGAATCTCAACAAAATAAAAACCAAAAATGAAGTTGTGTATCCGTACACTAATGGACTGAGCATTCACAGCATGTCATGATTCTAAAAGCGGTGAACAATTATTTTGAGCACCAGTAGCTTGAAATGAGAAGGGTCTAGGCCCGAAACGTCAGCTTTCCTGTTCCTCTGATGCTGCTTGGCCTGCTGTGTTCATCCAGCTCTACACCTGGTTATCTGAAATGAAGTTGGTTGTCTTGTCTCCTGCTGTCATTTCTGAGGGTGGACAATAGACGGTCAACGGAATGGGCCACACTTATGAGCAACGTGGTGTGTTGGTTTGCCATTGCTTTCTGTTGGATGGCTGACCAAGAAACTCTCCTGCTCTTAGCAACTACTCTCAGATGTGTTGAAAGGATTTACAGTCTGAACAGTCAACTGATTTCCCACGTAACTGGGCACACCTTCCATGGCCAACATGCCCTACAAAGAACAATACAGCACAGGAACAGGCCCTTCTGCCCTTTAAGCCTGAGCCGACACATTCTGCCCTTCAGTACTAAAGCCCTGGCATGGGACTTGAACCAGGACCTGCTGGCTGAGGGGCAGAGATGCTGCCCACTGAGCCACAAGAACCTGTCTACAGTAAAGATTAGAAAGGTTATGCTTAACTGCAACAATTTATACTGAGGATCGCAATGTATTCCATCTCCCAGAATAGGGACAAAAACGTCTTATTAGTTTCAAGGCTAACACAGAGTGGAGCTGGAGGAACAGAGCAGGCCAGGCAGCATCAGAGGAGCAGGAAAGTTGACGTTTCGGGTCGGGACCCTAAATAAAAGAAAGGCCTCAGCTTGGAATGTTTGGTGTCACCATCAATCAACCACAGATTCAAAGGACCCGTTCTGAAGAAGGGTCACTGCACCCGAAACGTTAACTCTGCTTTCTCTCCACAGATGCTGCCAGACCTGCTGAGTTTCTCCTGAACTTTCTGTTCTTGTTTTAGATAATTGTGTGAATCATTAAAAAAAAAACATAAACCACGTAACCCAATATTTACTGGTATAATTGGAAATGTCACTAGTTTAAAGAAAACATTTTTACAGCCTTCCATGAACAGGCACAGCTACAGAGGAAAGAATTAGAAGTAAAAAGAGAACATGCTGGAGAAACTCAGCGGATCTGGCAGTAGTTTTGGTTTCGAAATGTTCTGATTCTGACTCCACAGATGCTGCCAGATCTGCTGAGTTTCTCCATCACTTTTGGTTTTTATTTCAGATTTCCAGCATCTGCAACATTTTACTCTTTTTTTTGTTTAAAATAGGAAAGGACAAGCTGAGTTCATTGTTGCAGTGGGCCAACATGGATACGACAGAGTGAATGGCCACATGTGCTATAACAATTCTGTAATACTATAAACCATTAAAGGTGGAAATGATCAACAAAATAACAATAAGAGTGACCGGACCAGACTTACCTTGCAAAGCACCCACTACAACTCCCTTCCCTTTCTCGGAAGTTCCACAAGCCAATGGATTTCCCATCCAGGAAGGCTTCACCCAAGCAACCTTTGAAGTGGGTAATCTTCACAGCTGCTACTTTCTGTTGCAAAAGTAGATGATGTTATTCCAAAGAGAAAAGTAAATGCACAAACATACAAGAGAAAAGCAGTACAAATCAGAGAAGATGCACTGACCTTCATCTGTCGAGAGAGACCTCCAACAAACACCAGTGTGGTATTGCTCACATCCAGTACAGTGGAGGTTCCAGGAGATGTGGCTGTCTTTACCACTGGCTTGTCTAAACTGGACGATCCAACTTCTTGAACAGACAAGGTACCCATACGTCCAAACCTAGCAAACAAATTGTTATTTTGTTCAGCTCAAGCAAATAAATGATTTTAAAACTCAAAAAAGTTAGTATTAAACATTTATTTTCCAGCTAGGAAAATGGAATTTTAATTTACAAAGAAATTACATGTACTTCGCAAATAGGTTTTAACTGCATCTGAACTCCTGTGGCAGTATGCTCAGTTGGAATGTACCTTTCGAAAACATCCAGTTTCAGGTGTTCTAGCACATAAGCAGTTAGTAGCATCTTAGCTCCTGGCTTTAAATTAGACTACAAGGCATTGCAGAATGTGTGAGAAAGATCAGGGGCTGAATCTCCCTCTAGGGCAGTAGGCGATAATCAGTTCAGGACTCCCGTCCACTGCCCCGAGCCTCACCTTCTCAAGTCCAACTGATTAAAGTTGCAGGGAGAAGGCTCGACATGCCTACTGGTCTCAACCCACTCCTATTCTGTAATTACAGCAATGTCAAACACTTGTGGATAATCCATAGGCGACCAACAGCCTGCATAAGGATGGAGATGATGAGGGAAAGTCACTTACCTGGCAGCGTGAATCCTGTACCACTTGTTACTGTTAATTTGCTGATTGGGGTATTCTAATCTTGTCGTGCCGGAGCCCACATCCCATAGGAAGCCAACCCTGCCATGTCGCATCTCCAGAGCCAAGAATTCAGTCTAAGGAACAGGCAGAGGTTTAGTACAACTTCGGTTTTTGTAAAAATGAACAAATCTATTCAAATGCCACTTTTTGCTGTGCACAACATTGTTTGAAGAGATCTAAACGGAACAATGCATTTTAAATCTGGTTTTATCTAAAAGGATGTTCAAGCAAAATTACAGAAATGCTACATGCCACGGTATTCCTGACAACAAATGGCTAGGAAATCAATGTAAAAATATGTATAGGGTTTCCCAGATCTCGAAGAACGTCTGTACAAACTAATTTAAGAACATTATTAAAACGAACAAACTGGTAGATAAAAGAAATGCTTTGTTAAATGTTGATATTCTAAATGTAGAGCCTGCCTTCAGAGGGAAATGGCTCACAGCATCTGGCAGGACATGATCTGTCACTGTCATACTGTGAGTCCACTATTAGCTTCTGTAACATATGGATGAGATGTGGGTAATATAGTTCTGAAGAACATAATAAATTTTCATTACATCATGTGGTATCTACAGATGTACATTCTAATCACAGGCAAGTGTATCTTTGGGAAGTACTGCATGTCATGCCGGAAGAGGACAGAGCTGAGTAAGAGGGAGACTGTGAGCTTTATACCATTAGGTCACATATCACGAAATGGTGAAGCTGGCATGTAAAGTTATATGTCGGCTCGCTGCTGCAAGATATAACACAACAGCTTCAAATGCTGCAAAAAAATCCTGCACAAGCATGTTGGAAGGTCTAAATGGAAGAATGTTTTCTTTAAAAACTCTGCTCCATTCCAACCAGTTCATTGGTATATTCCCAGTATTACTATTGGAGTTTGTATCATCTACAACCACAGGTGAGGTGCTAGAGGGCTGGAGGGCGGTTAATGTTATTTTAGGAAGGCTATAAGGAGAAGCCTGGGATTTATAGACCTGTGAGTGTGACATCAGTGGCGGGTAAATTGTTGGAGGGAATTCTGAGAGATAGGATTTACATGCATTTGGAAAGGCAAGGACTGATTAGGGATAGTCAGTGTGGCTTTGTGCGTGGGAAATTGTGTCTCGCAGACTTGATTGAGTTTTTTGAGGATAGAACCAAAAAGATTGACAAGGGTAGAGTGGTGGATGTCTACCTGGACTTTAGTAAAGGCTTTGACAAGTTTCCACTTGGCAGACTGATTAGTAAAGTTAAATCACATGCGATTCAGGGTGAGCTTGCCAGTTGGATACAAAATTGGCTTAACAGTACAAGACAGAGGGTGGTGCCACAGGGATGTTTTCCAGACTGGAGGCCTGTGACCAGCCGTGTTCTGCAGGGATTGGTGCTGGGTCCAATTTTGTTTTGTCATTTATGTAAGTGATTTGGATGAGAATTTAAGAGGCATGGTTAGCAAGTCTGCGGATGACATCAAAATTGATGGTATAGTTGAAAGCGAAGAAGGTCAGCTAAGATCACAAGGGGATCTCAATCAACTGGGTCAATGGGCTAAGGAGCGGCAGATGGAGTTTAATCTGGATAAATGTCAGGTTTGCATTTTGATGAAACACACAACAGCAGGACTTACACAGTTAATGGTTGGGCTCTGGGAAAGATTTTCGAACAGAGAGACCTAGGGATTCAGGTACACAATTCTTCAAAATTTGTGCCACAGGTAGATAGGGCAGTTAAGAAGGCACTTAGCATGTTTGCCTTCATTGCTCAGACCATTGAGTATAGGAGTCGGGATGTCATTTAATGTCGTATAGGACGTTGGTGAGGACACTTCTGGAGTATTGTGTACAGTTCTGGTCGCCCTGTTACAGGAAGGATTGCCAGGACTGGAGAATTTGAGACATAGGGATAGGCTGGATAGGCTGTGACTTTTTTCACTGGAGCATAGGAATTTGAGGGGTGACCTTATTGAGGTTTTTAAGATCATGAGGGGCATAGATAAGGTGAATAGCAAAAGCCTTTTCCCTCAGGTGTGGGAGTTCAAAACTAGAGGACATATTTTTAAGGTGAATGGAGAAAGTTTTAAAAGGAACCTGAAGGGCTTCAAACAGAAGGTGGTTTGTGTGTGGAATGAACAGCCAGAGGAAGTGGGAAATGCAGGTACAGTTACAATGTTTAATAGACATTTGGACAGGTATATGAATAGGCAAGGTTTAGAGGGACATGGGCCAAATGTAGGAAAGTGGGACTAGTTTAGTTTAGGAAACTTGGTCGACGTGCATCAGTTGAACTGAACAGTCTGTTTCTGTACTGTATGACTCTATGAAATTACACCATTATTCAGTGAGTTATTTTCACTTGAGAAGTTGTATAATACATCAGAGTAAAAACTACAAATTAACTACAGTTAGCAAGAGATGGGAAATGTTGCCTTCCCGAAATAGTGGTACAGAATTTTTACAAATTTCGAGAAGTTAATTGTTAATCCTGTTCTCACACAAGACAGAAGTGGAAGGGAGTAATTTCATTTAAGTTACAGGAATTTGAAACATAAGTAAACCTCCATGGGTGCAAACAATATGGGTGGACTGACTAATTCACTTGATAGACTATTTTAATGATCTGACTGTCCTGTAATATTGTAACACCCATCGAGGGCACTCCGCAGTTTGTTACAGCAGCTATGTCTGGTTACTCACGCTGGTGCTGCTGCCGAGGTAGAACAGCAAATTTTCCGATTCGGAGGTTTTCACATTCAGTGTCAGAGTGTTGTAATTGCTGCTTGTTAGCGCTGGTTGGTAGGCACGGATACAATCTCGGTTGGCTGATACTGCCACCTTAATCTGGGAAAAAAAATCAAATTCAGGTTCAGTATCAAAATGGCAGGATCTGATATTGGCACAAGGGTGACCACCTCTATCACAAACACAGAGGGTTTAGCAACATCACCTCATCAGCCCCCAGTCAGTTAGACCGTTCTGACAGGACAAGGCTCCTACTCCACGTGAATACACCGGCCCTGAGTGTTAGCAGCTACCGTGACCCCAACAAAACAAACACTGCAACTCACCGGCCCGTCCCCACACTTATAATAGACTCCACTCAATGCCCTGTCCCTATGTGCCTGAACCCACCTCAAACAAAAAACTCCATCCCATTGCTGGTCTACGTATGCTTCCACCATCAACCTGTCCACCCTGACAAAATATCCAACGTCCTGTGCTGTTTCTGTGCAGCCAACCCTTCTGTTCGCATCTGCCCCCAATAGGCAGCTCATTGCAGAGCAATGCTCATCAATAATTACGGCCCATCTCTAATTTGCTCGATAAAGGGGTAGTGAACTACCTTCTTGATTCACTACAGTCCTGTGGTGTAGGGCCAACCCCGGTGTTATTAGGGAGGGAGTTGCAGTATTTTGGCCCAGTGGTGGGGAACGCATGGGGATATAGTTCAAAATCAGGATGGCTCGTGGCTTTCAGGGAAACTTACACATGATCCCCCGTAATGCCCTTATCCTTCTTGGTGGTAGAGGTCATGGTTTGGAAGGTGCTGTTGGTGGAGTCTTGATGAGCTATTATACTTGCAAATTATACACATTGTTGCCACTGCATCAGTGCTACAGGGAGTGAATGTTTGTGGGTGTGGTACCAGTCAAACAGGCAGCTTTGTCCTGGATGGTGTCAAGTGTTATTGGAGCTACAAGTGAGTATTCCATCACACTCCTGACTTGTGCCTTGTGGATGGTGGACAGATGCTGGGGAAGACAAGAGGTGAGTTACTCACTGTAGGATTCTCAGCCTCTGACCTGCTTGTGTAGCCACAGTAATTCCATGGTTGGTCCAGCTACGTTTCTGGTACATTGTTGGTAAAGGGGGGGATGTAGCAAGGATCATGCCATTGAATGTCAAGGGAAAATATTGGATTCTCCCTTGTTGGATATGCCCAAAACCTGCCACTTGTGTGGTGTGAATATTATTTGCCACTTGTCCACCCAATATTATCCAGGTCTTGCTACATATGGGCACGGATGATTTCAGTATCTGAAGGGTGACAAATAGTGCTGAACATTGTGCAATCATCAGCCACCATCCTTATTTCTAACCTTATGATGGAGGGAAGTGATTGATGGAAGCAGCTGAAAAGCATTGGACCTATAACACCGCTCTGAGGAATTCCTCAGCAAATAAACTGGCCCTTAAGATCTCGAACTAAAACTTGAACCTGTATCTTATTTACTGGTAATACTAAGGACAGAATGCAGTTTTTCACAATGCTTTTATGAGACACGTTGAAGAGTAAGACTGAGAGACCGGAACACAAATAATTTTAGGCAAGTTAGCAAGTAGAGTTTAGGTTTCACTTTTTCTTAATGTGTTGAAAGCCTATAGATACAGACTTCAAGAAAACTCAGAATCAGAGCACTGTTTTCAAGCATGAGAAAGAATTGAATTTAACTATGAGATGGTGCCACACGTGACTTAAGCAGAAATTAAAGACATAAGAACATGAAAAACAGGGCTAGGAGGAGACCATTCAGCCCTTCGGGCCAGGTGTTAGCAATCATGGTCATTGGTGTCAACTCCAATTTCCTGCCCATTCTCCATTGCAGCTACAGACAAACCAAATGCCCCGCACTACTGGGGGCAAAACAAGCAACCACCGACATTAATCTTTGAAAGCTTTACTGCACCATCAACGCATACTGGCTGCTCACTGGCTGGATACTCACCGAAGCAGCTTGCTTCCGGGCCTGAATGATCAATTCCTTTATCTCTGATAAGTTTCTGTTCAGGTTGTCCTCCAGCATTTTCAGCGGCTTCAACTTGTCCAGCAGGTAGTTGGCTTGAATTTCAACCTCCCGCACCTTCTTCCCAGCTGCTGCCGCTGAACGGGAAAGAGCAGAAATTTAAATACAGGCAGAACAGAATGCCACCTACACTGTATAAGGTATAGCATCAATAGAGCTGGAAGCAAGATATCCATTATGCTGGGGTGAGGCAGCAAAGTGGCAGATAGCATGATTTTGACTTCTTTGTAAAAAAAAACTAAATGTGCAAGTGCTTGTTTTGGCTCTGCACCTGTCCAGTCATGCAAAATTAGTGCATTTGTCAAGAATGACCCTTAATCAATTTCTCACTGCAAACCTACCAGTCTTCGCTGAATCACTGATGAGGACATTTGTTTCTCTGACGGTTTTATTGATCCTCGCTATAGAACCAGATGTGCTCAGCAGCTGCCGACTGAACTGCTGAATCTCAGTGAGAGATGCAGCTGCTGTCAGATTTGCCGAGACTACACGATCCCTTGCCTCTTGGAATCGAGCATCCGTCCCTGCAAGAAACAAATGGAGATGTTGTTTTTCAGAACCATCTCACGCTTTGCGATCACCCCCCCCGCCATGTTCAAATGCCTCCGTGGCTCAGTGGTTAGCACTGCCGCCTCACAGCGCCAGGGACCTGGGTTCAACTGCACCTTCGTGGGACTGTGTGTGTTAGAGCTTGCACATTCTCCCCAGGTCTGTGTGGGTTTCCTCCGGGTGCTCTGGTTTCCTCCCAGAGTCCATGCATGGATAGGCCATGCTAAATTGCCTCAGAGTGTCCAGGGATGTGCAGGCTAGGTGGATTAGCCATTGTAAATGCAGGATTACAGCAACAGTGTTGGGGATTTTCAGAGGATCAATGTAGACTTGATGGGTTGAATGGTCTCTGTCTACATTGTAGGGATTCTATCCACCTCTGTAACCTTCTCCAGCCCTGTGAGCCTCTGAGATCTCCCTGTTTCTCATCCCTGATTTCCTTCCTTTCTCTGCTGGCAGCTGTGTCTTTGGCTGACTTAGCCTCATATCGGGGGATATTCCCCCTGTAACACTCACATTTACATGACTTTGTGGTCCCTCTTTAAGTAGCCCCTCCTGTCAAATTATGTCTGATGTACCATTTTACAAAATTTTACAAAAGTAAAGGCACTATATAAAGGCACATTCCTACTGCTGTTGTGCGTTTTGTATCAGCCAGACACAGCACATTGAGGAAAATTGGGCAAGTCCCTGAGGGAGCCCTCCCATTTCTCGTCTGTGCATGGTGCCTGAGAGATCCAAATGGGCTCTAAAGCCCTTCAGTGAGTAAATTTGAATTCCCCGCACTGTGATTGCTTCTAAACCTGGTTTCACAAAACTCCAATGACAAAGGTTTGGTGTAATTCAGAGTCTCGGAGCTGACTGATACCTTTACACAGCTCAGCAGCCTTCACACTACCTGCACTGCCCTACAATACTGAAACCCACCTCACTCTTATTCAAGTTTCTTCATCCACTCAATCACCCAGTTATTGGTGGAGGCTATTTGGCTCATTTTCTGCACCAGCTCTGCGAAGGAACAATTGTAGTTGACTCTTAACTGCCCTCTGGGCAATTAGGGATGGGCAATAAATGCCGCCTGGCCAGTGACACCCTCGTCCCGTGAATGAATAAAGAAAAAAAGAACAAAAACCTGGTGCCACTCCCCTGCTTTCTCCCATAGCCCTGCACATTCTTCCTTTTCACGTACAAATCCAATTCCTTCACAAATACTTTGTGTCTCCAGAAAATGCACACTCTCATCCAATGCATTCAATTATAATATTTCCAAAATTGCTGATGACACTAAATTGGGTGGATGACGTTAAGTTATGAGGAGGGTGCAAAGACGCTTCAAGAGGACATGGATAGACTACATGAATGGGCCAGAATGGGGAAGATGTCATAGAACGTGAAAAAATGAGAAGTTATCCACTTTGGTTAAAAGAAAAACAGAAAAGAGGGAACATTTCTTAAATGCTGAAAGCTTAGAAAGTCTAAGTGTCCAAAGGGGATTGTCTATGAATCACGACAATCACAATAAGCTAATTGGTATGTTGGCTTTCATTTCGAGGAGTTTTGAGTGATATAAGTAAAGATGGTTTGCTGTAGTTGTAGAGAGCCTTGGTGAGACTGCACCTGGAGTATTATGCACAATTGTGGTCTCCTCATTTAAGGCCTTAGAGAGTGTGCAATGGAGGTTCACTGGACTAAACTCTGGATGGTCGATTGTTTTAGGAGAGATTGTGGAAAGTGGTTCTGTATTCTCTAGTTTCAAAGAAGATGAGTTAATCTCATTGAAATTTACAGCATTCTTACAGGGTGGATATAGACAGAGTGGTTTCCCTGGCTGCTAACTCTAGAACCAAGGGACATAATGTCAGGAGTAGAGGTAGGCCACTTAACACTGAGATAAGGAGGAACTTCCTTGCTCAGAGGCTGTGAATCTTTGGTATTCTCTACCCCAGAGGGTTGTAGTAGCTCACTCATGAGCAGGTTCAAGACAGAAATCAATAGGTTTCTGGAGAGGAATAAACACTTGAAATGTCATAACATTCAAGGCTATAGGCTAAGTGCTGTAAAGTGGGAGCAGTGTTGATTTTGAGTAGTTTTTGTCAGTGCTGACTCAATGCGCTGAAGGCCTTCTGTGTACTGTAGGATTCAATGAATGACATTAGGAGATATTGGAACTAATGTGAGAAAATGGCACTGAGGAAATGACTAGCCATGATTTAGATAGTGTGGAGTTCTGACAGGCTGAATGGCCTATTTCTGCTCTAATGTTCCTAGCTCTGATTTCTTAAAAAAAAAGTTTTATCTCATATCACTTGTGTTTGTTCCATCAATTACTTTAAGTCTGTGCCCAATTGTTCTCAATCCTTTCACGAGAGAGAGTACCTTCCCGTCCGCTCTTTCCAGACCCCCCATGATTTTGAATCCCTCCATCGAATCTCTCTTCTCCAAGGAGAACAGTTATAACTTCTCCGAATTACTTACATAACTGAGGTTACTCATCCCTGGGACCATTCTCATGAACCTGTAACACAACCGGAGCTGTCGTGAACCTGGATGTTACTTAATGACAGCATTGCAAAGAATTCTATTAATCCCTGAAATAATGGTGTGGATTTCACTCTCACCTGTAAAAACTCACTGTTAAACTACTGGAGAAATGCGGCTGTTTTTATAGGATTGGGGGTAAGGTAGGTGCTGGTGATTGGATTGGTGTAAATTTCTCTGAATATACAAATGAAAGACAATTACTCAGATACGTTCCCCAGAGAGTTACATAAGTTATCTGAAACTTCCTCAGTGGAAATTGTACAGTTTATACTTTTGTTTCCTCAGGAAGTTCCTACTTGGCTTCATGGCTTGTTTCAATGACTTACCATTTGGCATTTGTGCCAGAATGTGCCAGGGCTCCCTGAGGTGCCTGCTCACATTACCCACGCCTTTCTGAATCTGGTCAACCTTCTCCTTTAATCCATTCAGCTGATTCACAAGCCCTGAACATTTAAGAAGAACCAAAGAAGCTGTTCAGATACCAGATAACTTTATGATAGAGTCAAACGGTTACCATGCAGAAAGAGGCCATTCGGCCCATCATGTCAATGTGAATCTCTGTAACAATAATTTGGCTCGTCCCGCTTGTGACTAAATCTGCCTCTGCCACTGCTCTTCAGTAATTTGCTCCGGATCCTAACCAGCCAACATGCGAAAAGCTTTCTCTTCATGCCAGCTTTGGTCCTTTGGTTAATTGCTAAAGTCTGTATTGTCAACCCAATGGGAGCTAATGGGAGCGGCTGCTCCTGATCTACTTCGCCTTGACTTTGCATGATGTTAAAAACCTCTATCACAGCTCCTCTCAATGTTCTCCTTCTAAGGAGAACAATCTCAGTTTCTCCAATCAATCCAGGTAACCAAGGTCCCTGTAACCATTCTTCCAAACCTTCAACCAAGTGACATGGTGGCTACGTGGTTAGCACTGCTCCCTTACAGCGCCAGAGACCCAGGTTCAATTCCAGCCTCGGGTGACTGCCCGTGTGGAGTTTGCATGTTCTCCCCATGTCTGTGTGGTTTTCTGCCGGGTGCTCCGGTTTCCTCCCACACCCCAAAGATGTACAGTTTAGGTGGATTGGCCAAGCTAACTTGTTCTGTAGTATCCAGGGTTGTGTACAACAGGTGGGTTAGCCATGGGCAATGTGGGGTTATGGGAATAGGGTGGAGCTGGGTCTGGGTAAGATGCTGTTCAGAGGGTCGGAGTGAACTTGATGGGCTTCCTCCTGCTCTGCAGGGATTCTATGACCCATGAAAGCCTTCAGTCCTTTGAAGGTCTAATCAAAATACCACTTCAGGTTGGAGCATTATTTTGTAAAATGTCAGCCTAACTTTATTGTTCCTGTACCCTGTGCCTCTTATTTATTTAGGATCTCCTATTCCCTTTTGAACCACTTTCTTAATCTTCCCCCGACCCCCACCCCCCAAGGTCCTAGGGCTACCGGATAACTTCAGATGGATGGCAACACCGTCCCTTGGCTCAGCAGCGCTGTGGCAATGTGGCCACTACTGGAACTGCAGACAGCTCACCATGCTGAGTCGCCAAGCTGTTGGGTTAAAAGCTAACCCCCTGGGTCTTGCTGTGGCCAATCCGACAAGTCGCACAGGGTAGAGAGCACAGTGGAGTCGAGGGGCCGGGGTGCTAAACGAATGGTGAAGGCAGGGAATGCCTTGTGGGGGGTGGTCCCCTCTTTGAGGCATGGAGCCTGAATGAGGGGGGCCACTGTCTTAGCTGATGAGAAGGCCACCAGATCTCACCTAGAGTTCAATCCTATCTTCTATATATCAATGGGCCCCCTGCTGCTGCAAAAATATCGGTGATGACAGGAGGAGGCCAGTAATTGGCGCTCCCAAAATAGCACCAGATTTTACCACCAGGCAATCAAGATGGAAACCAGGCAGTGTGGCAAATCGGTGGGAGATCCACCAATTTCTGCCCAGCATCAATACCAACTCCGACCTGATTGTAGATACAAAACAATTAAAGGTGTAACATCAGGTGAATGAAGTTCCAAGAAATATTGCCCTCACTCCAAGAAAGCTCAGTGACCTGCAGAGTACTGACCATTAGCAATGGTTACTTGTTCTCCAGAGAAGACAACTTGGCAGCTCATAAGGTGTTCACTATCCATCCCAAATCCCCAGGCACTCCAACATGAGGGCTGCCAGACAATCCGTGAGATGTTACTCCAATCCTGCTGCCTTCCAACGGCTCCCAAAGAGTAATCTGCACATTTTTTTTTAAGATAGGCTGGGACTTTTTTTTACTGCAGCATAGGTGGTTGAGAGGTGACCTTATAGAAGTTCATAAACTACTGAAGGGCACAGATAGAGTTAATGGTAGGTGCCTTTTCCCTAGGATGGGGGATTTCAAGATTAGGGGGCACATTTGTAAGGTGAGAGGAGAGAGACTTAAAAAAAGACATGAGGGGCAAATTTTTTTGTATAGAGGGTGGTTCGTGTGTGGAATGAACTTCCTGAGGAAGTGGTGGATGTGGGTACAATTACAACATTTAAAAGACATTTGGATAAGTGCATGAATAGGAAAGGTTTGGAGGGATATGGGCCAGGAGCAGGCAGGTGGGACTAGTTTAGTTTGGGATTATGTTCGGCATGGACTGGTTGGATTGAAGGGTCTGTTTCCGTGCTGTATGACTCTGTGACAAATGCGGCACTGGCAGACAGGGAGCCTTTGAGATTTCCCGCTGTGACAGCGAGGAATTGGAGTCAGAAGTGTCTGAAAAGGCAAGTTCGTATGGAATTCCTCTCAGGTTGGTTGTGGCCTAACAAGAACAAGCAGGTCCACCAGACCTTACACTGGGGTTATGTGCCATTGACGTCTCTCCTCCTCCCACTCTTGCAATGCTGTCTGATCCCTCCCTCCTCCTATGCACTCAGTGCCAACAACTCTTCTATTTGGCCCCTACCAAAGACCTTATCCTATTGCTGCCCAGCAGTCCTCGCCATTGGGTTTGGGTGTAAGGCTGATGATGAACATTTAATTGAGGACCCAGAATTAAGACCTTCCCCAGTCCCACACTGTTGAGGGATTATCTTTCTATTCCTGATCGTTATTAAAGTTGTCCCTAAGCTTTCTGCGGAGTGCTCTTTAAAAAGGCCAAGAATGTGTGTTTTCAATTTAGGTGTTATCAGAAAAGGCACTAGATTTTCGAATGCAATCATAGAATGATATAACACAGAAACAGGCTATGGGTCTCTATGTACCTCTAACCAGTTAGTTGTATTCCTGGCTCATTCCCCGTAGCCCATTTACTTCATTCAGTTCATTGGTTTCCATTAAGAAGTGCTGAGATTAATGCTGAATACATAAATTAGTATTACATAGTAGTACATAGTAAATAATTACTTACCAGCAGTTTTGTTTTTCAAGCCATTTGCATCGCTCAGGATCTCTGAACTATGCTGGGCTGACTTCCTGCCAAACTCCTCCAGTGGTGTTTGAGGACCGATAACCTTAATAAAGAGCAGGTGTATAGAAGCATTACACTCAAAGTAACAGAGTCACACGGAAAACTGATATTAGGATGTAGCAGCCAATAACAGAAATAATGGGCCAGTACAATAAGCGCTGCTATTTGCTCAGTGCATTTTTAAAGTGTTTTGCAATCAGATAATTCCACCTAATAATGTGCTCGATCTCCAACATTTCAGTACAGATTCCAATATCTGCAGTAATTTGCTCCTACAATGTGCTTGATCTGGTCCTTCATGCTTGGTAACACTCCAGAAGTGTGAAAGCCAGGTACAGAGTACCAGGGTCAATTATAACAGTATGGAGGGATTTAGATTTAGATTTATTTAATATTGTCACTCATACCTAGGTACAGTGAAAAGTGTAAAATGTCACCACGTTCCAGTGCCATCTTGGATTATAGAATAAATTACTGATTAAATTGTACATATGGTAAAATACTGAATAAATTAATATTAAATTGATATTATTAAAAACTTATCTTATGAGCAAAGGCTAATAGGTTGGGACTCTACTCACTGGAGTTTAGAAGAATGAGAGGTGATCTCATTGAAACGTATAGGATTCTTAAGGGGTTTGACTGGGCAAATGTTGAGAGGATGTTTCCCCTCATGACAGAGTCTAGGACTAAACATACATCACGTCAGAATAAAACAGTGCAGATTTAAGACCGAGATATGGAGGGATTTCTTCTCTCCGAGGATTGAGTGTCTTCGGAATTCCTTGTCACAGAGAGCTTTGGGGCAGAGTCCTTGTGTATATTTACGGCTGAGATAAATAGATTCTTGATCAGTAGGAGAATTAAGGGTTATGGGAAAAGGACGTGAGGAGTATCAGATCAGTCATTATCGTACTGAATGGCGGAAAATGCTTGAGGGGCTGAACGGCCTACTCCTGTTTCTATTTTTTATGATTTAATGGAAAGTCTTTTGTAATAAAAAGTGTGGGAAAGAACATTGAGGGGGACAGTGTCATCAAAATTTTGTGAAAAAAGTTTCTAGAGAGAGAAGAGGAATTTGGTAGTTTATGTGACTGAGATCTATCGCACAAGAGGTAGACTTGATGATTACTATGGATTTTATCCAATCCAAATAGTGTTTATGTTCCTAAGTATGATTAAATTATTCCAAGTAAAAAATGTAGACTTTTTCTGCAGGTATTGTATACCGAGTGCTGCAGTGTTCCATAGAAATAAGCCATTATTTAGTTCAATAACTGTAGTAAGATCAGGTCTGCACATGAATTAGTGAACATTGTTAGGCTTTATTAAAAACAGAGAAGTGTCAAAGGCCAGGAACCAGCCGGTTTGAGAAGCTGCCATCTGTCTAGTAAGCATTGTTGACATAGATTTTAGTAAAGCCTTTGCAACGTTCCACATGGTAGACTGAATACTAAAGTTAGACCACATGGGATTCAGGGAGAGCTTGCAAAATTGGCTTGACGGTAGGAGACAGAGGGTGGTGATGGAGGTTGCTTTTTTGGACTGGACATCTGTGACCAGTGGTGTTCTGCAGGAATCGGTGTTGGGTCCACTGTCGTTTGTCATTTATATAAACAATTTGGATGAGGTTTAGGAGGGCTCGTTAGTAATTTTGTAGATGATACCAAAATTGCTGGTATAGTTGACATTGAATAGCATTATCTAAGATTACAAAAGGATCTTGAACAATTGGGCAAATGGGCTGAGGAGTGGTAGATGAAGTTTAATTTTGATAAATTTGAAGTTTGTGTTTTGGAAAAATGAGCAAGGGCAGGACTTATACAGTTAATGGTAGGGCCCTGGGTGGTGTTGTCAAACAGAGAGACCTAGGGATTCAGGTACATAATCCTTTGAAAGTTGCATCACAAATAGATAGACTGGTTAAGAAGGCATTTAGCGTGCTTGCCTTCATTGCTCAGACCATTGAGTATAGGAATTAGGACATCATGTTGAGGTTGTACAGGGCATTGGTGAGGCCACTTTTGGAATACTGTGTGCAGTTCTAGTCACCCTGCTATAGGAAGGATGTCATTAAATTCAACAGAGTGCAGAAAAGATTTACCAGGAATTTGCCAGGACAGGAGTGTTTGAGTTATAAGGAGAGACTGTGCAAGTTGGGACGTTTTTTCACTGGAGTGTAGGAGGTTGAGGGTGACACTTACAGAGGTTCATAAAATCACGAAGGGCATAAATAATATGAATAGCAAAGGTCTTTTCCCTTGGGTGGGGAGTTCAAAACCAGGCAACATAACTTTAAGGTGAGAAGAGAAAGATTTAAAAGGAACTTGAGAGGCAATGTTTTACATAGAGGATGGTTCGTACATGGAATGAACTGCCAGAGGAAGTGGGAGATGTAGGTACAGTTACAACATTTAAAAGGAAAGATATATGAATAGGAAAGGTTTGGTTGGACATGGGCCAAATGCAGGCAAGTGGGACAAAATTTAGTTTGGGAAACTTGGTTCGCATGGATGAGTTGGATTGAAAGGTCTGTTTCCATGTTGGATGCCTTTACGTCTACAAGAAAACAATATGAGAACACATATATCCTCCAAGTGCGCTGAGAATGCTATTGCAGATTGATGCCTCAAGCAAAAGTTACTTGGAAGCAGAGTGGCATGAAGTGGGAGGACAGTGGGAGAATGTAGCAGGAATTGAATGTTAACAGTTTATTGGAAGAGCGAATTTGTGGGAGATACGTGGAGTAAAGTGTTAACTATACCTTTATAATAATGGCTACTGAGCATGTGTGTAAGGACTATGTCAATACAACATCAGTTTGCACAGAACTGGGAAATGAGCGTGTTGAGTTCCAAGGATATCCCTTCTTACTATCTCCTAAAGGTAGCTAATACTTTGTAAAGGCTAACTGGCATCAGTGTGGACTACCTTTTATTAACAACCCAAACGTGATATTACTACAGCAACAAAGAAAACATGAATTATCAATGGGTAACTAAATACTTTCACTAGCGAAAGATGAAATTTAATGCATCTAAATACAACAATGACTAATCTGCTCCAAGGGTGAAATGGAAATATGGATTTGAATATATATGGTGTTTTTCACAACTACCATATGTCTCACGGAGTGTTTTACAGCCAATGCAGCACTTTTTGTAGTGTAGGCAGTGTTTTAATGTAGGAAACATACCGGTTAATTTCTACAAAGCAAATGGCCACAAATGGGAATGTGATATTTATCAGATCACCTGTTTTTGTGAACTTGATTGATGGGTAAAAAATTGGCGAGGACATGGGAATAACTCACTTGCTTCTCTTCAAAATAGTGTCATGCAATCTTTTATGTCTACCTTAGAAAGCAGAGAGTGCCTTTATTTTACGTCTCATTTAAAAAAAAAGCATGATTGACTGTGCAGCCCTCCTTCAGTACTGCATTGCACTGAAATATTCACCTAGATTTTCACATTTAAGTTTCTAGACTGGGGCTTGAACGTTCAGATTAAGGGACAAGATGTTACCCACTGAATCATGGTGACACTATGTGACACTATAAGCTTCTGTTTACTTTTTGTTCAAAGCCATAAAGGTGTTCTTTATACTCTTAATTATCAATCCTCTACAAATAGGAAACAACTTCTAAGAAATTGGTCTTGAGTGGTGAGATAAGTTATAACTTGGTTTAGTAAGAAAGTAGAATACTGGGAGAGATAGTTAGCACTAGAATAGAGAGCACTAAGGTAATAGGTGGAACAGGAATAAAGAGTAAATGAAAACTTTCAGAACCAACATTACATAGCATGCACATGAATAGATAGAGTGAAGTAAATACGATTGAAGAGTCACAGGCACAGATTACAAAGTGAAATTTTGATTCTAATTCGGTCAAACTAACAAATATTTACCTGGAATCAAGAGAAAAAAAAACACAAATATGGTCTAATGAGCAGAACAATAGCATGTACTTTCTCAGACGCATTAAAACTTCTTTACTACTGAAATAATTCCACAGAGGCTGGTATCCAACCACCAAGTCACCCTTTACTCCATGTGGAAAGTCTTTGACTCTGGCACAGCATTGTCAGAGTCAGCTCCCAGGGTGTAAGAATCTCTGACACTCCTGTTTATATCTGTCTAGCCCGGACTCTCTAATTGGACCAGATTGGATTACAACTATTTTTTCAATGTTAAGAATATTAATGCTGATTCAAAAATTTGGAAAAAGAAGGCATTTGTTCTAAAGATTTGGGTGCATGCAATCAAACCTGTATTTGAATGGTTAGGTCCAAGGATTCAGTGACGGCTGTAGGTTTTGTTTCCAAGAACAGTGCGGGAAAAAATTTCTTAATCCATAATATAAACCCCGTCATACCGATAACTGTTCATTTCATGAAATAAAATTACACTTGCAAAATGGAAAAAAAAAGATTTATATAGCATTTAATAGCACCGCCTTGTGGCTATGTGCATGCCTATGTATACATCAGAATGAATTAGTTTAGTTTTGTGTTGACTCTTCATGTACCGCCATTATTTTAACTGCAAAGATGTTGTATTTGGTGACAAGGCGGGATTGTGCATGCGTGTAGCTGAATCAGGTTGTGGCTGTAGCAGAGACCTGGCTGAAGGCTGAGCAAGGCTATTGCGCTAAATATTCCTGGGACAAAGTGCAATGTGAGAAAACACTCTCAGCTTTTGGTTAAGAATGCACGACCCGGAAGTGTGTTGGAGGTAGCTTCAAATGGCATTCAAGAGGGCAATGGATGATCATTTAAACAGAAACAATGTGCAAGGTTATGGCTGGAGGATTGCACTATGACATACTGCTTGTTCAGAGAGTTAGTGTAGACACAATGGACCAGACGCCCTCCATCTGCATCATAAAGAATCTGTGATACTGTGAAAATACTCACCAACTTTAATGCAGCATCAGCTTTGTTCCTAGCTTCTAATACAATGTTTGCAGCTTCATCAATGAGTGCTTTGATGTTGGAATGTGTGTTGACAGCCACTGTGGCATTCAGAGACACGTTTCTTACAGCTGCAAGGGAACTAATAGCAGGAAATGGGTCAGTTAAATGGCTCAATGAAATTTACACAGGCGTACGATTGCAACAAAAATTGCATTTCTCTGTGTACGTTATCAGTGCTTACTTTCTTCCCACTGCCTTCGCCTGCTTTGAACAAAAGGGATGTGACAATCTGGCTCCCAGATATTTCTTTCTGAATAAGAACCAATGATTTACAGATTCCCCCGCCACTGCAGCTGTTGTGCAAATGCAGACATTGCAGACTGAACAAGCCTGGACCTTCAAGTCAGTTACATGGCAGAATGACGTTTAATTTTTCAATATAAAGTTACCCACCTTGCCTTCAGGCAGTCTTTTGTAAAGGAGTCTGCCAACTGTGTGTGTAAGGGGCAGTAACAGCAGTAAGCACAGAACCTAGACTGTTGTGCAAGTCTGCAATACTGTAGCTGTGAAATAGTTAGTGATGTTAATAAACTTCATGACATCTGTCTCAACAAGAACCTGGTGGTTTACGTTCTGAAGTCTAACGTGTAGAAGCCTACAAAGCACATTCAGCAGCTAGAAGACATTCTATTGCTTCAGTGGCCTGTCTAAGAAGTAACTTGTTAGTATGGTCTGCATTTTGTTCAAGCTAACAAATATTCGCCTGGAATCTGAGAAAACACAAATATGTTCTAATGAAATACAACTTTATCACATGTACTACATCTGAAAGAACACTTGTTTAACTACCATTAAGTGTTAAGAGTATTAATGCTGCTTTAAAATTTCAAAAATGGTGGCCTTTGATCTAAAGATTTGGGTACATACAATCAACCTTGTATTTCGAGCGTAAAACATAGAACAGTACAGCACAGTACAGGCCCTTCGGCCAATAATGTTGTGCCGACCTATTATCCTACTAAGATCAAACTACCCTGCATACCCTACATTTTACTATCCTCCGTATGCCTATACAAGAGTCGCTTAAAAGTCTCTAAGGTATCTGACCCCACTACCACTGCCGACAACGCATTCCATACACCCACCACTCTCTGTGTGAAGAACCTACCTCTGACATCTCCCCTATACCTTCCTCCAATCACCTTAAAATTATGTCCCCTCGTAATAGTCATTTCCGCCCTGGGAAAAAGTCTCTGACTATCCACTCTATCTATGCCTCTTGTCATCTTGTACACCTCTATCAAGTCACCTCTCATCCTTCTTCGCTCCAATGAGAAAAGCCCTAGCTCCCTCAACCTTTCCTCATAAGACCTGCGCTCCAGTCCAGGCAGCATCCTGGTAAATCTCGTCTGCACCCTCTCTAAAGCTTCCACATCTTTCCTATAATGAGGTGACCAGAACTGGGAATGGTTAGGCCCCAGGCTTCAGTGATGGCTGTAGGTTTCGTTGAGTTGGTTGACCATCCATGATCATACTGAATAGCAGAGCAGGTTTGAAGGGCAGAATGGGCTACACTTATTTTTATTTTCCATGTTTTTATGACAACCATTATTGTTGTGTTCAAATCCTACATTAGACTTAAACCCACAAACATCTCACTTACAGACAAAAACGGTATTAACTCAGTTACAGCTCACACAGGTACTCGATCTGAGTTGGTTTTCTTGCCAGCAAAACAAAACAATAAAAGAAAAAGACTCAAAATTATACAGTGTTTTTCACGACCAACAAATATCTCACTGCACTTTACAGTCCATGAAATACTATGGAAATGTTCCAGTGTAGCAGCCAGTTGTTCACACAGCAAACAAACACGACTAGGTAATCTGTTTTTCTCATGTTGATTGGGTGATAAATTTTGGTCAGGACATGAAGGCTAACTTCTTTGATTTTCTCCAAAATTGTGCCGTGGGATCTTTTACAGCTATCAGAGAAGGCAGATAAAGGCTTTAGTTTGAGGTCTCATCTGAAACACAGCATCTATCATAGCATAGCCTCTGTTCAGTACAACACTGGGGCCTCAGTCTTGACTTGTGTGCTCTAATCTGAGAATGGAACGTGAGCCCACAACTTGAGCAAGTGTCTCAGAGATGAGAGTGCTGCCAAACTGCATCACAGCTGACACATGTATGTAGTCAGTCTGACTTCGTTTCCTTGACAGCCATATAATGCAATGAATTGTGAAGGGGGACAGGCTCACTGGTCACAATGGCTACTGAGCAGACTGCAGCTGCTACAGAGGAAGCGGCTATGTAGACTTACCTGTTTAGCAGATTTGCAATCTCACTAAGTTCTTCAGCATGGTCTTCTGCCTTGTAGACAAGGCTGAGCACACTCTTCTGAGTCATCTCCATCACCAACTTGTCAAGGTGCATCCTCATCTTAGTATTCCACAAATCCAGCTGGTCGCTGTATTGCTCCAAAAACTTCATTCAACAAAACAGGGTGACAATTTTAACATAGTACAGAAAATACACAAAGGTATACACCAAGATGTTCCTAATAGAACTTTTTAAAAAGACTTTTACAGGATATGAGCATCATTGATAGGGTAACGTTTATTGCCCTATTTAATTCCTTCAAGGTGATGGTGAGCATCCTTCTTGAGTTGCTGCAGACCACAGTATGTAATTATACTCATAGTGCTGTTAAAGGAGGAGCTCCAGGTTTCGGACCCAGTGAAAATGAAGGAATGGTGATCTAGTTCCAAGCCACGCTGTGCAGGTGCTGCTGTCGGACTGGGGTGGACAAAGTGAGAAGTCACACGACACCAGGTTACAGCCCATACAAGTTTATTTGAAATCACAAGCTTATGAAGTGCTGCTCCTTGTCAGACGAAGGAGCAGAGCTCCAAAAGTTTGTGATTTCAAATTAATCTGTTGGACTATAACCTGCAGTCATGTCACTTCCGACGTTCCAAGTCAGCATGGTGTGTGGCTTGTGACTGTGCAAGGTGAAAGATTTAATTAATAATCTTGTGTGCAATGTCCTTTAGAGATGAGTGACCATAACATGATAGAATTATCCATTGGTATAGTAAGTGAAGCAATCCATTCTAGAACTACAGTCTTAAATCTAAACATGGGAAACAGTGAGAGCATGAGGCATGGTTGACTGTGATAGATTGGTAACTATATTAAAAAGCATGATGGCAGATAGTCCATGGCTGCAGTAGTCATGCATTCCTTTCTGGTGCAAAATTACAACAGAAAATGTGGCCCAACTTTGGCTAACAAAACAAATTAAGTGTTAGATCCAAAGAGTTGCTAGATTACATTGAGAAAGCAGACCATTTTCAAATTCAGCATTGGGGAACCAAAAGATTGATTACGAGAGGGCTAATAGAATGTGAGAGTAAACTTGCAATGACATAAAATTAATGTAAAAGCTTCTATAAGTATGTGTAAAGAGAAAGATTAGTGAAGACAAATCTAGGTTCCTTACAGCCTGAAATGTGAGAATTGATCATTGACAGCAAGGAAATGACAGAACAATTAAACAACTCCTTTAGTTCTGTCTTCACAGAAGACACAAATAACTTTCCAGAAATTATAGATAAAAGAGCTTATTGAGAAGGGAAATTGAAGGAAATTAGAATTAATAAGAAAGAACACAGCTGGAGACATGAATAAGACATAAAGCTGATAAATCCCTGATAATTTATATCCCTGGGTACTAAAGCAGGTGATCATGGAAACATTGGTGGTTGCTCCAAAATTCTGTACATTCTCAAACAGTTCTAACACATTTGACGGAAGCAAATTTCATCACATTATTTAGAAAAGAAAGTGCGGGGGCAGAAAACAGGGAATTACAAACTGGTTAGGACAGCATAAGTAGCATATGAAATGTGACAATCTATTATAAAGGACGTATTACAGGACACTTAAAGAATATCGCCAATACAGTGTGGAGCTGGAGGAACACAGCTGGTCAGGCAGCATCAGAGGAGCAGGAGAGTCGACGTTTTAGGTCAGGACCCTTCATCAGCATGAACTCCAGGATGACTCTGACTCCAGCATCTGCAGTTCTTGCTATCTCCGAGTGACTTAAAAGAATATCTACAAGATAGACAAGGTCTGTGCAGATTTATGAAAGTGGAATCCTACTGGAGTTATTTTGAGGCCAAGGTAATGCGTTGTTAAGTGAGATCCAGTGGATATGGTGAATTTGGACTTTCAGGAAGCTTTTAATAAAGTGCCACATAAGTGGTTAGTATACAAGATTAAAGTAGATAGGATTGTAGCAATATACTGGTGCGGATTGAGAATGAGCATATAGGAAAAAGACAGTAAGAATAAATGGATATTTCTTGGGATGTAAGGCAGTGACTAGAGGGTACCGCATGGTCAGGGCTTGTGCCCAGCTATTCATTGTAAATATCGACAATTTGGATAAAGAAATCAAATGTAATATTTACAAGTTAGCTGATGATTATTAAGCTACAGAAGGTTCAGAATATATTTACCAGGATGTTGCCAGGTATTGAAGGTTTGAGTTATAAGGAGAGGCTGGATAGGCTGGGACTATTTTCACTGGAGCGTACGAGATTGAGAAGTGACTTTATAGAGGTTTATAAAATAATGAAGGGCATAGGTAGAGTTAATAGTAGGTGTTGTTTCCCTAGGATGAAGGATTTCAAGACTAGGGGGCACTATTTTAAGGTGAGAGGAGAGAGATTTAAAAAAACATATCGGGGCAAATTTTTCACACAGAGAGTGGCTCGTATGTGGCATGAACTTCCTCAGGAAGTGGTGGCTGTGGGAACAGTTACAACATTTAAAAGACACTTACATAAGTACATGAATAGGAAAAGGTTTGGAGGGATAAGGGCCAGGAGCAGGCAGGTGGGACTAGTTTAGTTTGGCATTATGTTCGGCATGGACTGGTAGGACTGAAGGGTTTGTTTCCATGCTGTACAGCTCTATGACTCTAGAAGGAAACTGAGTGTTGAGTGGAAGGTAACGAGGCTTCAAGGTGATTTAGATAAAGTGAGTAAGTGGGCAAAAGTACATGGAAAATACAGTGTAAAATGTATAGGTATGAAGTTATACACTTTGGTAGGGAAAACAGAATGACAGAGTATTATTTAAATGGTGATAGATTAACAATGTTGATGTATGAAAGGGACATAGGTATACCTGTACGCTGGTCAACAAAAGCAAACATGCAGGTGTGGCATGCAGTTTGGAAGGAATTGGGTACACTGGCCTTCAATGCAGTAAGATTTGAGGACAGGAGCAAGGAAGCCACACAGCAGCTGTATGGGGTCTCGGTGTGACCGCACCTGGAGTACTGTGTGCAGTTTCTGTCACCATACCTAAGGAAAGATATAATTGCTAGAGAGAAAATTCACCACACTGATTCCTGCATTGGTAGGTTTGGTCCTTTGAAGAGAGATCGGCTCAACTAAGCCGATATTGACTGGGGTTTAGAAAGATAAGGGAATCTCACTGAAACATGTCAAATTCTGACAGGGCAGGGCACGACAAGCTGGATGCAGGGATGATGCTCCCCCTGGTGGGAATGGAGGCGGAGGGTGGTGGTGGTTTCTAAAACAAGGAGTTATGGTGACTGATTAATGGGATAACCATCTTTGACTGCAGTGAGGAGAAACTTCTTCACTGATGTTGGTGAACCAGCATAAGGTAGAGGAGGTCAAGTCACTGCATATATTTAAGAAACAAATAAATAGATTTCTAGAAGCCAGAAGTGTCAAGGTGTACTGGGAGCGAGTTGGAATAAGGCATTGAGATAAAAGATCAACCATGGTAATGTTGAATAGTAGAGGAGGCTTGATGGGGTGAATGGTCTACAGTTGCTCTCATTTCCTGTATTTCTATGGACACAAATTGAGTAAGTGGATAAAAGTACATGGAAAATACTGTATAAAATGTATAGGTATGAAGTTATACGCTTTGGTAGGGAAAGCAGAACGGCGGAGTATTATTTAAATGGTGATAGATTAACAATGTTGATGTATGAAAGGGACATAGGTATACCTGTACGCTGGTCAACAAAAGCAAACATGCAGGTGTGGCATGCAGTTTGGAAGGAATTGGGTACACTGGCCTTCAATGCAGTAAGATTTGAGTACAGAAGCAAGGAAGCCACATAGCAGCTGTATAGGGCACCTGCAACCCTGGGTCTTTCTCGACTTCAAAGCAGAGCACAAGACACATTCAACCACATTCGTAACACAGATACCTGCTGGCTCCTTTAAGGACTTAATGGGTTAATTCACTGCAACTGGCTTCGTGTCATAGATCCATGAAGCATCACATCGGATGATCCCTTATCTTTGGAATTGACTAATCACAATCAGTATGGCTGTGACATTAAAACTAGGCTCAACACTTCCAGCTGAAGGAGCTATTGGAAAGGGAACAGTTGTAGAGATTGATTGCAAGAGGATTGCATTCAGTAGGAGTGAACCCACTGGCACCCAGTATGCCAGTCATACACGCAAAGCATTGTCAACTGGGCAAGGTGGCAAATTGTTTGTGGAACTATGCCTGAGTTTTGCAATGAGGAAGAGGAAAGCGAGGGAGGAAGACAGTTTCTCTCCGTGTAGCACATGGTCTGCAGCGGTTCAAAAACTCAGCCCACCACCACCTTCTGAAGGGGAATGAGGAACTAGAAAGAAACGCAGGATCATTCACTGATGCCCACATTGCATGGGTGAATTTAAAAAAAAGTTTAAACAATTTATTTGTAATGATTTGCACAAATCCAATCCAATTTGAAAATTTGGCTCTTGCAGCTAAGTTTTGTTCGTCGGAATAGCAGTAGTTCACCTTGGGTGACACAAAATACAATCGATTAAAATCAAAATTTATGGCGGGTTAATTACTAACTTGATGAATGTGGAATTAAAATTCTGGTCACATTGTACCTTCCATCACATGGTATTTCCAATGCTGGAGCTATTCGATGTTGTCACAAAGACATAAGTTGCAGAACAGCTCCTGATCTCCAGGCCACAGGGACAGTCTCTACAACCCACACTCTCACACTACCTGTTGATTTGCTGTTTAGGAGCACTGGTAGGAGCCCAGGAGCCAACTGGCAAATTTGCTCTCTTAGTCGGCAACATTGGCTGGCAGGAACATGAAAACCAAAGTCTACAATTATAATGAAACTTACAGCTGTGTTGTTCACAATGTCTTCTGTCATATTTACTGCAGTGTTCAACATCTCTCTTCCATCTTGGATCACGTTTGTTGTCAGCATCCTGATATTCTTGATAGTCTGCTGCTTTTCCTGTGGACGGTCATGTTTTGACATGAGTTAGCAATGTGACCAAAACATGGTCTCTTTCAACAAAGACTTACTGGTACTTTCCAAACCTGAATGACAGGGGTTTGATATGCTGGAGGACCTCCTTTTCTGTCAATAATTTTACTATGAACTCACAAGAATGTTAGTATTTGCAGTGTAATTGCATTGGACGAGAAATTCAGTACCTCAAAATTGAGGTTCTGGGATCATGGGTTCAAATCCCATCAATGGCAGATGTTGAAATTTGAATTCAATAATACTCTAGAATAAACAATTAGACCAATGACAACGATGAAACAATTTTCCATCATTAAAAACCTATGTGGTTTGATGTTCAGGAAGGGAAATTTGCCACCTTTACCTGGTTTGGCCTACATACCGGCAGCAATGTGACTGTCATTTAACAGCCCTCTGGGCAATTAAGGAGAGGCGATAAATGCAATGCCCTCATCCCATGAGCAAATGAAGAAAGAAGTGATTTTGCATTTTTATGGGAGGGATATTAGAGTAAGTTTTCAGAGGTTCCATTCCCAGTGATTTCTGTGACTTAGCCATGAATTAGGAATTTTGATTTCAATGCAGCCCCTTACCCTCTGCTGTTTCTAACTTGTCACTGCATTGAGAATAAAACCTACACAGATATTTATCCCTTGAACTGAGAATTCTTCCTGGACATCTCTGTTCATGAAACCTTGCAAATTTCAGCAATGACTGTTCATAGCTGGGAACTGTATCCAGTTCAATGGTAAAGAACCATTGGTCAACCCTTATGATGGTGCTATGGTTTTAAGAGATGTATTTTGTCCTTTTTTTAATGAAGTAGATTTGAGACAGAGGTGCTGAGTAGTCTGCTTCAAAACCAATAAAGTAAACAGCTTGTGAGGCCTTGGGTTTTTTTTTAAGTTGGAACAATAGAAGCAGCATGAATGGGTGAGATCAAGCTCCCACAGAGTCAGGATTTTTAGTTTTAGCTTCCAGCAGTTGCTGGGATCTGAAGCTGGATGTGGAAGCCTCTTATTCCTCTCTCTGTTACAGGTAAAAGCTGGGGGTCTCTTGCTGCTGCTAGAATTGCATGTGAGACAATCTGCTTTACTGAATTTGCCTTTGCCAAGGGTGTGTTTATGGGATGTTACTATATTTGGAACAGTTAATTAGTAGTAGTTTATATATGTATTTATTATTTTGTTAAGCATTTCAACAGTTACAGTTAAGCCAATTCTTTTCTTTTATTATGCCTGTATTTTAATTATAATGTATGAATAAAGTCGGTTGTGTTTCAAGCCTGGTAACGTGACCAATCGAATTGCATCTGGATCACAATGCCTTGCACTTACCTTAAAATAAGGAAAAGTTAGTGTCTAGATTATCATCATGATATATTTTGAGGGGGTTTGGTCCGGTCCGTAACACCCTTCAGGCTCATTTGTGATACAAGGGTAGCACATTTGTTATATTTTAAGCTGTTATCTTATGAAGGGTTAAGTTATGAGGAGAGGTTATACACATTTAGCCTGTTTTCTCTAGAACTGTGAGGTTAAGGGATAATCTGATCCAAGTCTTTAAGATATTAACATGAAAAGATGGTGTAAATAAAAACGAACTATTTCCACTAGTTGGAGGTCCCAGAATAGTCTATAGAGCATAGTCTGAAATTTAGGGCCAGAATAATCAGGAGAGATGTTAGGAAGCACTTCTACACATAAAGGATGGTACAGGTTTAGAACTCTTTTCCACAAATGGCGGTTGATGTTAGGTCCATTGTTAATTTTAAATCTGAGATATATAATGTTTTATTGAGCAAACGGTACTAAGGGATATGAGCCAAGGGTAGGGATATGGAATTAGGCCACAGCCATCGCTTAAGGGTGGAAACAGGCTTGAGGAGCTGAATAGATGACTCCTGTTCCTATATTTTCCCTTTTACCTGGAGCTCTTGCAGACCACTGGTGATGCTGAGGAGAAGCCTGCTGCTTTCGTTGGTGTTTGAACGTGCTTTGTTCACTAGCTCTCGAGCTTCCTGCAACTCATTGGCATGTTGCACTAACATAAACTTGACCCTGTTTTTCAAGTCCTCCATTTCCTTACGGGATTTCTGAAACGCCTTCTGCACGCTGGCCAACAGATGGCGTGCCGCTCTGATTCATGAAAGAAAAATCATAAAGGTATCAGCATTTACATGCAACTGTCCATGGATTTGCAAATACAGCTCTACCTCAATGTTCCACTACCCGTGCCACCCAGTCCTACACTCCCAACATCAACAATGTTGTAACTTCATTGCAGAATGTGCCTTGCCAACAGCAACAGGTCTGCCTTGGTCAAAGTCAATGATGATAGCTTCTGCGATTGTCAATAATCGTCACCTTGTCTTCAGTGATCACTCTCTGGCTTAGGCACTCCATTCTGCCCCAGTATTTCTCCCCTTTATCTACGTGGGAGGAAGGTTGTCCTCATAATGCTTTTGCTTGACTCAAGGAGCTCATCCTCGGAAAAGGAATCTCATTGCACCTCTGCATCGACAACTCTGAAGTACCACAAAATGCCATCTTAGCACTCTTTTTCCTCATCTTCCTGCAACGCCTCAAAAGACAGAGGTCTCTTTGGTCAGTTCACATATCTGGTGGATCTCTGTCCATGGGAGGTGCCTTACCACCATGGCTGAGTTCTCAGCACTGGCACCATTATTGTGGGAGATGCATGCCAACAGGACAAACACAGCAGTGCCCACTTATATTGCACATCTCTCAATTATAGAAAAGAGGAGCAATAGGCCTTTCAGCCCATTCGGCCAGCTCTGCCATTCGATCAGGGCTGATCCTCCATCTCCATATCATGCTCACCTTTTAGTTACACCTTTAGTTTCTCAGATATCTATTTCTTTCTTAAATGTAGGCAGTGACATTGTCTCCCTATTCCTATCACGATAGAGAATATTCCACAGGAACACCATCCTCTGAGTGAAGTAATTCCTCCTAATCTCAGTTCAAACAATATTCTGAGATCATAATTCTTCAGGTGGGAAAAAAAATCACAAGGACGAATGTGGGTTAATTAACGAGAGCTAGCATGGATTTCTTAATGAAAACATCATATTTAACTAGGAGACAGGAGCTTTTTGATGAGATAACGGAGAGGTTGATCGGGGCAATGCTGGATGTGCATATGGAATTGCAGAAGGCATTTGACACAGTGCCATACAATAGACCTGTGAGCAAAGATAGAGGTATGGAATAAAAGGGATGGTAACAATGTGAATATAAAATTGGGAACAAAAAACAAAGTTGCTGGAAAAGCTCAGCGGGTCTGGCAGCATCTGTGAAGGAAAAAACAAAGTTAACATTTCGCTTCCGGTAACCCTTCCTCAGACTTTGTTTTCTCCTCCGCAGATGCTGCCAGACCTGCTGGGCTTTTCCAGCATCTTTGTTTTGTTCCTGATTTACAACATCTGCAGTTCTTTCCGTTTTTATTGAATATAAAATTGGTTATGCGATAAAGTAATATTTAATGGATGTCCTTTACAGTCTGGAGAAGGTTGGTAGAGAAGTTGCCCAGAGATTAGTGTTGGGACCCTTGCATTTCCTGACATTTATCTCCATAGTCTAGAGCTTGGTCCACAAAGCATAATTTTAAAATTTGCAAGTGACATAAAACTTGGAATCATTGCAAACTGTTGAGTTTACAAAAAAATTGTTAGGATAGAGTTGAACTGCAAAAGGACATTAACAAGTTATTAGAGTAGGTGGATAGGTGCGAGATGAGATTCCATGTGGAAAAGTGAGAGGTGCTACATTTGGTTGGAGGAACATGGAGAGACAATAAAATTAAACGGGGATGCAGGAGCAGAGAGACCTGGTTTACCTCTGCATAACTCATTAATGGTGACAGCACAGATTGAGAAAGCAATTAATAAAGTAAACTTTATCCTAGACTTTACTAATGGCAGCATAGAGTATAAGAGCAAGGAGGTTAGGGCTGCGCTTGTACAAGACACTAGTTTGGCCTCAGCTCAATTTCTCACTAGGTTCTGGTATGTTTCTGTGGTTTAGAAAACCGTCAGGGTGACACACCCAAGAAGGGTGGGAGACAGAAAACAGGAAACTATAGGCCAGTTAGCCTCACATCTGTCCTTGGGATTAACACTAGCATCCATTATTAAGGAAGAAATAGCAGGTCATTTAGTAAAGCTAAAGACAATCAAACAGAAGCAACAGGGGTTTGTGAAAGGTTTTGGTTTTGTGAAAAGGAAATCCATGTTCGACAAAATTTTGCTAGAGTTCTTTGAGGATATAATAAGCAGTGCTGATAAAGGGGAACCAACTGATATAGTGTATTTGGATTTCCAGAAGGCATTCAACAAGGTGCCACATCAAAGCTTACTGCATAAGATAGGAGTTCTAAGTATTGGAGGTATATTAATAACACAGGCCGAGGACTGGTTAACACATAGAAGACAGAAAATTGGGATGAATACATCCTTTTCAGGTTGGAAAGATGTAGCTAGTAGAGAGCCATAAAAATCAGTCCTAAGGAATCAATAATTTACTGTCTACATTAATGACTTGGAGAAGGGGGACTGTGTACATATCCAAATTTACTAACATTACAAAAATAAGTGGGAGAACATACTGTGATGAGAACATACTGTGATGAGAACATTAGGAATCTGCAAGGCAATATAGATAGGTTGCGTCAGTAGGCAATAATTTGGCAGAGGGAGTTTAATCTAGAAAATGTGTGGCCATCCACTTTGGTAGGAAGAATCAAAGGCAGCTTATTATTTAGAACACTCTAAGAAAAGCACAGGACAAGGGCATCTGAATATTCTTGTGCATGAAACAAAAAAATGTTAGCACGCTGGCACATCTAGTAATTTTGGCCTTTATTGCTGGTGGGCTGGAATAGGGAACTCCTGTTAAAATTGCACAAGGTGTTTAGTAAGACCACACCAGAAGTACTATGTACAATTTTGGTCTCTGTATTTCACAAAAGATTGCACTGGCATTGGAGCCCATTCTAAATAGTTTTCAAAAGGCTGATTTCTAGGATGAAGCGGTTGATTTATCAAGAACGGCTAAACAGGTTAAGCCTTTACTCATGAGAGTTTAGAAAAATGAAAGGTGAGTTTCTAAAGGGGCTTGACAGTTTAGATGTTGAGAAGATCTTTCTATTAGTCGGGGAAGGGAGGTGCGGATTTCAAACTAGGGCACATAGTTACAGAATGAGGGGACACTCAATTTAAAACCGAGGTGAGAAGGAATTTCTCCTCTTAGCATGTACAGAATGCCTGGAACTCTCTATCCCAGACAGCGATGGAGGCTAGATCACTGATGGTACTTAGAGAAGGCAGATAGTTTTTTGAAATATGAGGAGTTGAGGGTTATGGGGAGCAGGCATGAGTGAGAAGTTGAGGCCTGGGGCTGATCAACCATTATTTTGTACAATAGTGGAGCAGTGGTTGTTGTGGTTGGTTGGCTCGCTGAGCTGGTTTCTTGTTTCGCAGATGTTTCATTACCCTGCTGGGTAACATCATCAGTGCAGCCTCCGATGAAGCACTGTTGTGTTTTCCCGCCTGTTATTTAAACTCTGGTGTCCTTTGAGCTGGATTACCTCACTTCCAGTTTTCCTTCGCAGTGGAATGTATACGGGGTCGAGCTCTATGTGTTTATTGATGGCTTTCTTCGTGGAGAACCAGGCTTCTAGGAATTCCCATGCCTGTCTCTGCTTCGCCTGTCCCAATTGGTGTTGTCCCAATCGAATTGGTGGTTCTCCTTATCCATGTGGATAGAGATGAGGGAGTATTGGTCATGTCTTTTTGTTGCCAATTGATGTTCGTGTGCCTTTGTGGTTAATTTCCTTCCTGTTTGTCCGATGTAATGTTTGTCACAGTCTCTGCATTGGTCCTGTCCCCTCTAAAACCTTAAATAGTGGTGCAGGTCTGAGGGGCTGAATGGCCTCCTCTTGTTCCTATTTCTGATGACCTTACAGATTTCTCCATCCAGGTCTGGGTGCCACACTTTAGTAAGGATGTGACAGGGAGAGAACATGGAAGAGGTTTATGAGAATAATTCCAAGGATGAGAATGAAGGGGTAGACTGGGGAAGGTGGAATGGTTCTCCCTGAAGAGAAGGCTGAGAGGAAATCTAATTGAAATATTCAAAATTATAAGAGGTCTGACAGGATCGAGAATATGAGGGCCAGGTTTAAAGTAATTAGTAAAATAACCAAAAATGTGGTAGGAGGAAAATCTTTTTCACACAATGAGTGGTTAGGATCTGGAATGCACTGCCTGAGATAGAAGCAACTGAGGCATTCAAAGGGAATTAAATGCATAGAGTCATAGATATATACAGCAGATGTACCCTTCAGTCCAACCCATCCATGCCGACCAGATATCCTAAATTAATGGAGTCCCATTTGCCAACATTTGGCCCAATCCTTCCCTAATTTTAAAAGGAAAGTGCAGTATTACAGGGAGAAGACAGGAGAATGGCACTCAGTGAGACATTCTTTTGGAGAGCTGGTACAAAGATGATGGGATGAATAGCCTCCTTTATTGCTGTGATAATTCTGTAACTCCAGGACATTTATTTCCCAACCCAAATATTTTAATCAAATATCAAGCACAATGGTCACAGTTGTTCAGCAGAATGTTTTAACATTTGCAAACTGTGTTGAAATAGCAGTCTTACGCAATGTAGCAGCTCTTGCTCTTTACACAAGCATACACCAGGACTCACTTTAGTTCAGATTCTGAAATTCCTTTCGATTGATTAAACACTCTATTCTGCATGGATTCCAGCATATTCAGGATCTCGCGCTGGAGTTGCTGCAGTTTGGTGTCTGAGAGATTCAGGTCAGTTCCCAGTGTCTCATTCAGGTGACTTGCCATGTCAACAAGAGCTAACAAGAACAAGTTAGGACAAGTTAGTGAAGATAAGTGGAACAATATAAATCCAACGACCAGCAACAATCTATCAACTGAACACAGTCCACAATGGTTGGCAAGGCGAGAACAAAGATCTAAGTGTGGAGTAGTATTGGCGCTGATTAAAGCTAGGCATTCCATCGATATATATCGCACACCCAGTTGTTTATCTGGTGGGTGACTAGTCGGTCATTCATTTTCGTTCGGGCTGGGTGAAGGAACTTTGTAATTTGAAAACTGGCTTGTTGCTTTAGAACTACAGATTAGAACTTACCTCTCCTCCCTAGACGATAGTTCTTTTGTTCTTTTATTTTTAAAAATTCAAAGAAAGAGGGCAATATCTACATACATTAGACATGTTTCTAACTTCTGGATCTCCCATGGCATTGCTCACAGTTAACGGAATGATACGGTGCTTTATACCAATGCAATGTTATAGCATCTAATGTGCAATGTCTCATTCTGCCACAAAAGTTTAACTAGAATTAAGAAGACCTTTCCATTTAAGGCTAGTTAAACATAGGAAACTGTTAAGGAAGTCTTTCTGAGTTCAGTTGTTGCTTTGCCAGGGAATATGAATATTGGTGTCCAGGCAATATGTCCTTTCTTCAAAGCAGGAGTGGTTCAGGAGAACACTCATATTGGATTCAAAATGTTAGTTTTGTTTCTCTCTCCACAGACTCTGCCTGTCCTGCTGAGTTTCCCTCACACTTTCAGTTTTTATTTCAGATTTCCAGAATCTGCAGTGCTTTGCTTTTGTTTCTGATTCAGTTGTTTGCCCTGTTCGCTCAATGTTTAATTACCTGTTTTATTTTCACTGCTGCTGTTGTATATGTGTCTGAAAGGGTTAATAACGAAGAGTGCCAAAACTACCACCTACGATAATCTTGCCATATGGAATTGTGGGCAGAGCAACTTAATTACCGAATCATACAACCCCTACAGCATGGAAGCAGGCCATTCAGCCCATCGATACATTTTTGTTTGGCTTCTGTCTACTAAGCTTGCCCTTTGCAACCATGATCCTGTGCCCTTTTGTTATTTTGCCATGGCATTCCTAAAAGAAAGCACAGATATCTCACACACCTCAGTGATGCCTCACTTGAATCTTCAGTTCAATAGGCACACTTTGTGTATGTCTTGCTTTCTGAGAATGCAATGCCTTTAAACCCCTGCTCTCCCCACCCCCGCCCACAGGTGCTCTCTTTGATGTTAACCAAACCCAAACTGGAGTGGTCAGTCTTCCACCTGTTTCACCCTCTAACCCACTCTGAAACCTCTAAGGAGGCATGGTTAGTAAGTTTGCAGATGCACCGAAACTGGAGGTGTAATGGACAGCAAAGAAGGTTACCTCAGAGTGCAACAGGATCTTGATCAGATGGGCCAATGGGCCGAGGAGTGGCAGATAGAGTTTAGGTAAATGTGAGGTGCTGCATTTTGGAAAAGAAAACCAAGTCAGGACTTATACACCTACTAGTAAGGTCCTGGGGAGTGCTGCTGAACACAGAGACCTTGGAGTGCAGGTTCATAGTTCCTTGAAAGTGAAGTCGCAGGTAGACAGGATAGTGAAGAGGGCATTTGGTGTGCTTGTCTTTATTGGTCAGTGCATTGAGTATAGGGTTTGGGAGGTCATGTTACAGCTGTACAGGACATTGGTTAGGTCACTTTTGGAATACTGTGTGCAGTTCTGGTCTCCCTGCCATAGGAAGGACGTTGTGAAACTTGAAAGGGTTCAGAAAAGGCTTACAAGAATGTTGCCAGGGTTGGAGGGTTTGAGCTATTGGGAAAGATTAATAGGCTGGGGCTATTTTCCCTGGAGCATCGGAGACTGAGGGGTGACCTTATAGAGATTTATAAAATCATGAGGAGCATGGATAGGGTAAATAGACAAGGTCTTTTCCCCAGGGTGGGGAAGTCCAAAACTAGAGGCATAGGTTTAAGTGAGAGGGGAAAGATTTAAAAGGGATCTAAGGGGAAACTTTTTTTCATACAGATGGTTGTGCTTGTATGGAATGAGCTGCCAGAGGAAGTGGTGGAGCCTGGTACAATTACAACATTTAAAAGGCATCTGAATGGGTATATAAATAGGAAGAGTTTAGAGGGATATGGGCCAAATGGGACTAGATTTATTTATGATATCTGGTTGGCATGGACAAGTTGGACCAAAGGGTCTGTTTCCATGCTGTATATCTCTATGGCTCCACAGTGACCCTCTGAAGTGCATCTCAACCAGATCAATCCCCTCACCATATCCCTGCATTTCCCTTGGCTAATCCACTTAGCTTGTACATCACTGGACACTATGGGTAATTTAGCATGGCCAATCCACCCATCCTGCACGTCTTTGGACTGTGGGAGGAAACTGGGGCACCCAGAGGAAATCCACACAGACATGTGGAGGATGTGCAAACTTCACACAGACAGTCACCCGAGGATGGGAATTGAAGCCAGGTCCCTGGCGCTGTGAAGCAAAAGTGCTAACCACTGTGCCATCATGCCGCCCTTAAGATTGCCAAGCAGTGAGATCTAATGTCTAGTCCTTCTTGTAGTGCCTGTAACAATGTCTATCGTTATCAATGTAACTTGTAACTATTGCTAACATGGAGTAAACTGTATTTTGTTAACTTCACGAGTCTCTTCTAGTTAGGCCAAGATGTGAATTTCCCCTACTAAACTACAGCGACAGTAGTTTCCTAGAGTTGAAGAAGATAGTGGCATAACCTTCAACACAAGCAGCAGCTGATCCTGCATCATGAGCTGGCTGTCCTAACATTAGCTACTGCTCAGTCAACAGCGTACCACAAATTATGAATCTTCATGTGCATGGGCAAGTCTAATCTGTGGCAGATTCTATTAGCCGCAGCAAATTACAGCCCATTATTTCAGCATTGTTTAACAGCTCTGACAAAGCCTGATGGCAGCTAGATAAAATCTGGAGGTTAACATTAGCTTGTGACAGAGGAGCAGCTTTTGGATATATTAAAGTCATATCTCGCAAACAATACTTCACTAGTGCTGAAATAAGTATGACTCATTCATTGTATACACCCAATGCCTCTTGAATCTGACAAGGTTCTTGAAAGAACAGGAAAACATGGTGGTCTACAGAAATTCTAGCTTGTTAACTATTTTGAAAGGCAGATTTTCAGAGCATCCCTTTCTGTCAATCCCCCCGCCCCACAGCTAAATAAGGCAAAGTTCTGTGTTTTGGAGCAACTGAAGCAGACATTTCACAGTTTGAAAAATTGCAGAAATTAACTTTACCTACCCCTCCATAACAACAACATTTTTAATTTCTGTGTTGCACAGTCATTTTTTCAAGTAAACCATATTGGTGTCCTTTCCTTTCCTCCCACTCTTTAGTTAATACAATACTGCATTGGATGGGTTTCTCTATTTCTCTACAGAAACTATTTTCTATAATGGTCAGGTCATGGTCCCATATCTGAATGGCCGGTCAGACCTCATTGCAAATGCACAAAACATACAGGCAGCATCCATGCTATATGACCACTTTTTCATATATTTCTTCACAAAGCTGAAACTTAAGAGGTCCTTACATTTCAAACATAAATCATCATGCAGAATACTCTTTGCTTGGCGGTTTGTGAAGTTAGCAAAATGTAAAGCAGCAAGCCTGTTCCCAGTTGGAAGAGTGGCATTTGAGAAAAGCTTGCTGCATTGCCAAGGGCACTGCCACAAAACAATAGGAATAAAAAGAACAACCACCTTTGGGCTACTCTCAACATCTGGTAACTGGCTCAAAGTAAGTGACTGATTCACAGTCCACTGCTCACAGGGAAATTACACATCTTTTTTAAAAATCTCCTTAATACTCAATATTCGAGGGCATTTTCTTGCACTGTTGGAGGGAAGTCTTTAATCCACTTGAATGTTAGATTACTTCAGCCTTACTGCTACTCCAAACCTGTAAACTGTCCTTGAGAGAGTCTTCAATAATTGTGATGCTGCACTGAATCCCTCACAATGCAAGGTCATTGTCGCTTTCTCAAGAGAAAGCATTGCTTTATATTTCATAATCGGAAACCAGCTATAGACCAGAAGCTCCTCAAAGCAAATACCATGATTCCTTTGGAACATCAGTCATGTTGGATCTTAATACGGTTTACAAACAACTGGATGCACAATGGCATGTACCAAACAATTAAAAAATTACTTTCAGCTTTAAAATACTATATTTCAAAGTCTACACTACAAAAGGGAGATTCAATGTATTTTGTACAATGTCACTTTTATGTTGGTCTTTATTTAGTTCATTGTTTTTTTTTGATTATAAGAATAAAGGGCAGCAAGATTCTGACAAGATATAATTAACCCACTTTAAAAACTGCATGATATGGTTCTGGTTCTAAATCGTTATTTAATGAATTGCTAAATTGAAAGTACCTGAGAGAGATGATTTTTGCCTATTTTAAAATGCAGTTTTCACAATGCTCTGTAGGTGACTGTCCAGCGGATGGTAATTTACCATCTGATATCACTGCTACACTCAACAAAAGCAGTCACTTGTTTCATGAATCTGTTTTGATGAAAATACAGGCTTAGTGCTCATCAAATGACAAGACTTATACAGTGATTGTGATATACGTACCATTTATTGTCTTGGTTGTTTTATTTACAAATGCTGCAAGCTCCAAACCCCTGGTTAGTGTTCTCCCAGCAGCTTCATTCAGATCCTGTCCACCAGCAAACTCCAGAGCGACCTGGTACAGAAATATTTAACTTGATTTACACTGAGGTTCAGCTATATTCCCCCTGGCTTTTATCAGCAGTATGGCAAGGGTGATGTGAGAAAGGGGGATTGGGGTCACCTCGTAGTAACCTCTGGGCCAGCTGCACTGTGTTGTCACCAGCATCATGCAGGTTGGTGAGGCTCTGCACCACAGCCCAACACCAGACAATGTTCAGCAGTGACTGGACATATCCCAGAGACTGGATAGATCACATGAGCTAGCACAAGCTGACTCAATGAACACCGCCACACATCCTTTCTCAGCTTTTATTACTTGCTACAAAGACAGAGAAACAAATCAGAAAAAAGAAACAAGGATTTGATATGATTTGATTTGATTATTGTCACATGTTCCGAGACACAGTGAAAAGTATTGTTTTGCTTGTTATCCAGGCAATATCGTACCTTACATAATATATCAGGGTAATAGAACAAAATGCAGAATATAGTATTACAGCTACAGAGAAGGTGCAGAGAAAGATCAACTTTAATATATGAGAGGTCTGTTCAAAGGTCTGATAACAGCAGGGAAGAACCTGTTCTTTGGGGATGAAAGAACAAATGTGCATTTGTATAGAACCTCATGTGTATGCACAAGTGAATACACTGTTGGAATCTGCCACCGGATTGTGTACCTTTAATAACCAGGCTGCTGACCAGCAAGTCTGTAGAATGTAATTTGCAGCTTAGAAACATTAACTACATTCCACCCTATCTCCAAAGATACTGCCATAACTTGCTTAGAGTTTACAGTACGGTTCTGTTTCTATGTGAGAAGTGACCCTTCCCGTAAAGCAGTGTGCTCCAGTTCCTGCTTATGTCGCTGATAGGTCTGTGGAAGACAGCATGCACTGCCATAGAGAGTGACCAATCTCCCCTTATCTTCAAACAACCTTGTCTTCTGAACTGCTGGTGGGATCAGGTCAAATGGGCGAAATGTCTGGAAATAGAGAGACAGCTCAGCCTCTAAACTGACTTAGCAGTCCAAGTGTCTACCTCCAAACATGCTCAATTCTGGAAAGATCATGAACTATCTCTAGACAGGCTTTCCATTAATTCTCTACAAAAACTGAGGCAATGATGTAGGGCATAGTGTCCCAGATGCCTGTGGAATAGCCAGCAATAGAAACAGCATTTCTGATATGGACACAATGGACCAAATAGCCTCCATCTATGTATTAAACTTATCAATGTTTCTATGGTGCTGCATGTCAAGTTGAGTTTTTTCAAAGACAATCTGATTTTCATGGCCATAGCACACATCTTCTGAAAGTTTTTTTCTCAAAATATTTCTGCAGTTACTCTTGCTTATCCACACAAAATAACTTTCCTGCCAAGAGGTAATTGTAGTAACTGTTGCTATTGCTCCCAAAGGAGTATTGCTGAATGCAATCACATCAGTCTGCCAAACAATATGGTCGAAAGCCATAGATCTTGCTGCCAACCTGGAACCAGTCCAATAAGCTAGTGACAACACGTTCAATATTTTGTTCCTAGTCATTGACGATGAAAACTGGAGTAACACGCCACTGTTTCTTCGGTTGCGGAAGCTTCCCCAAGGATATCAATCACAGCAGTTTCCTGGCTTCACTTGATTACTTAATTGACTGGGGAGGAATTGCTTTAAGAGTTTGATTCAATTTTTCATCAGGAATTTCGCCCCTTGCTAATGTCTCTCCAACGAGAGTGCATTAACAGTCATGCATTGGGAAGATGTTATGTTATGTTGGAAAGTAAGGGGCTTGATAAGGGTTTGATCCCTTCTTTTCCTGTTTCGTACATTCCTGTCTTTTACCTCATTTGACCCTCTAGTACCCAGCAATTATGGGGGTCCTACTCTCGTACGTTTCCTTTTGAGTTGAACCTGTTGTGCACTTGGGTCTTTCGGTTACAGAGAGGCTTGAAATGTGTGATTTTAAGTGAATCATGCATTCCCATAGAAATCAGTGATACAACTGGAGTTAGATTCTTTTCGACATTTCTTACATGAGAAAACAATGTTCAGATTGAAATACTGTACCTTATGTGGACAGTTTTCTAAGCTGACATAATGTGGAAAACAAAATACGTCACTAAATATAAAATAAACTTTATGTAGTTGAGTGCTTCAGAATCTTGCTCTGCAAAAAAAACTTAAAATCTAACTTGGAATGGTGCATATTCCTAAATAAAGATACTTTCTAATCAACCTGAGTTATCATTACACACTTCTGAAGCAGATAGGAGTTGTACCTGTGCCTGCTAGCTCAGAGGTGGGGATGCTACCAATGCACTTCAAGAGCCCTCTATTCCTAAATGAAAAATACATGTCAATATTGCTCTCACCTGATGATGTTTTAATGAACTGTGCTCAATCAGGTTGCAGAACTACCTGCACTGACAAATCGCTACCACTAGCGGGAGCTAAGGACTTCAGTGCAAGTTTAAAATGGCAGCCTGGGACAGGGCATGGGACACAAGGCCAGGAAAGGAACTTCAAGTATGCCAAAGGGAATGTAGAATGGGAGCAAAAGTATAGTCGTGTTGAGGTTGGTTGGCTCGCCGCGCTGGTTTGTTGTTCCGCAGACGTTTTGTTACAGTGCTTGGTAACATCCTCAGTGCAGCCTCTGATGAAACGTCGGTGTGTTTTCCCGCCTGGCTTTTAAACTCTGGGGTCCGTTGCGATGGATTGCCTCACTTCCGGGTTTCCTCCGTAGTGAAATGTATATGGGGTCGAGTTCAATGTGTTTATGTATAGCCTGCTTTGTGGAGTGCCATGCTTCCAGGAATTCTTGTGCTTGTCTCTGCCTAGCCTGTCCCAGGATCTTGGTGTTGTCCCGGTTGAAGTCGTGGTTCTCCTTGTCCATGTGGATTGAGATGAGTGAGTATTGGTCGTGTCTTTTTGTAACCAGTTGGTGTTCATGTACTCTTGTTGTTAGTTTCCTTCCTGTTTGTCCGATGTAGTGTTTCTCGCAGTGCCTGCAGGGGATCTTGTAGATGACACTGGTCCTATCCATGGCGGGGAGTGGGTCTTTAGTTCGGGTGAGCTTTTGTTGTAGGGTTGATGTGGGCTTGTGTGCCACTCTGATCCCCAGCGGTCATAGAAGTCTTGTGGGGAGTTCTGACGTGTTCCTGATGTAGGGTAGTGTGATGAGTGTGTCGGGGCGTGGTCAGTGAGCCAACCAACCTCAACACCCACAACCCGAACTACAGATCTACTCCAAAACCTTATATAGTCGTAGATAGTTTCTAATCAACCTGTTCTGAGATGTTATTACACAGCTCTGGAACAGGTGGGACAGAGCAGCAACAGGAGGGCTGCAGCAAATAAGTCTAAACTGAAAACCAAACAAATCACTAATTTATTCACAGCTTTAAAGTGAAACAATGTTAAAAGAGTAATCTCTGAATAGGGATTTATTATACAGAGCTCTAAACTGCCTGGGCCTTTTCCACCTCTGGTCAGAGACTGAAAATCACTCGCCCAATTAAGCAATGCCACTTTAACTATGAAGTAGACAAGGATTTATTTTACTTTTGATTTACCTTCTTCTGTAAGTGGCTAATCCCCAAGATCAAAGCAGACATCTGTTCTTCTACCTTTGCAACGAGAGCACTTGTGTTTCTTTCTGTCGACAGAGTAACCTGTGAGAAAAGCAATAAATAAAGTCATCTTTGTCTAAGCCACCGAGACATACCCAGTGAATAAAACCTTACTTTTTCTCATTTATTTTAGTTAGCCTGTCTTAGGAGTAGAATGCAAATACTAGTTTCTGTTTTCCCTGCAGATCTAGAGTTAATCGAAAGATGGAGAAGGAAATGAAGGACATCAAGGAGTTTCTTAACAATTTTAAAACTAGTTATGTAACCCACTATTTTCAATCTAATGGGTGTAAATAATTGTTTAAGTTTCATGCCAGCTCCATCAATTGCTGAGCTGGCTGATCTCACCGTGATTAACATATACTTTGATATCTGTGTGTTCACTCTGGCACATATCACATGGAAATCAACAGGATGTGTACAACAAAGGAGACCTCATGGAAACATTGACCTTGAATTCTACAGTCACCTCCGCCCCTCCGAAAGAATTAGAAAAAGGAGAAATGCGATTACTTAATTTGCAACATGATGATGATTTAAAGCAATTAGTTTAAAAATGCAGATCATTGTATTTCTGCAAGATTAATGTTACATTGCTGAAAAGGAAGCTAACCTGATTTACAAACAAAATTGTGTCAACATCTCTGAGTTTCTGCTGCTTAAGATCTAAATGATGGGGGATATAATATGTCAAGATGCAGGAACAGAAGGCAGCCATTTGGCCCATTGTACCTGCTCTACCATTCAATGCGATCACTGATCTGATAACCCTCAACTTCACTTTGCTGCCTTATCCCCACAACTCCCCAGAATCAACCTTGTGAACCATCTCTGGACTGCCTCCAGTCTTTCCTTAAATAAGGGAACCAAATGGTTCACAGCATTCTAGGTGTGCCTTGTCTAGCTTTAGCAAGACTTCTCCATTTTCATTCACCATTCCGTTTGAAATAAAAGCCAATACTTTTTTGTCTTGTTGAAGCTCAGGTATGTAAGAAAGGAACACTTGTATTTCAATGGCACCTGTGGGCACCTTTCATGACCTCAATATGTCTTAACATGTTTCACAACCAACAAAGTACTTTTGAAATATATTCACTGTTTTTATGAGAAAATATGGCCAGCCTGTTTCCACACAACAAGCACCAACAAACAGCACTGCATTAATGACCAGATGGTATGTTTCAGAAATGTTAGTTGAGGGATAAATATTGATGTTATTTTACAAAATAATGTCATGGCAAGCTTCAAATACCACCCGAGGACATAAAATGGCATATTTTAATATCTCATTCAAAATACAGTATTTCAAAGCACTTAGCAGTCTCTCAGAACTGCACTAGCTTGCAGCTTCAATTTCTGTGCTCAAATTCCTAATATTTTCTTCATTATTTCGCAGGACGTGGGTGTTGTGGGCTGTTGCCCATCCCTGGTTGCCCTTGACAGAGGGGCAGTGAGCTGTCTTCTTGAAACACTGCAGTCCATGTGCTGTAGGTAGACCCAAGAAGCTGTTAGAAAGGGAGCTCCAGAATTTTGACCCAGCGACACTGAAGGAACGGCAATATATTTCCCAGTGAGGATTACAAATGGTTTGGAGGAGAACTTACAGGCAGTGGTGTTCCCATGTATCTGCTGCCCTTGTCCTTCTTGGTGGCAAAGATTGTGTGTTTGGAAGGCGCAGCTTAAGTAGCATTGGTGAGTGACTGCAGTGCATCTTGTTGATAGCACATAGCGCTGTTACTGAGTGTTGGCAGTGGAGGGAGTGGATGCTTGTGGATGTGCCACCAAACAGGCTGCTTTGTCCTGGATGGTGCCAAACTTCTTGAGTGTTGTTGGGGCTGCACCCATCCAGGCAAGAAGGGAGTATTCCATCCGACTCCTGACTAGTGCCTTGTAGGGGATGGTGAGGCAATCTTTTGACTCAGAGTTGGGATTCTCCCAGTGAACTTGTAGAACTTGTGTTACTATTGCCCCTCTGTTCAGACAGCTAACATCTGGAACACCATGACCGCACAGATTGTACAAAAGTTTAAAAAGGAGCACACGTTTCGGTGACTGTGGAAAGCTGATTCTGTAGGATAGCAGCATTGCAGAATAACAGCAAGGGTTTCCAGAAATGTTCAAGCTGATTTCCAGTCATGTGCTCCTAACCGGCAATCAATTATTCTAATTAAACAATTGTATGTGAGGGTTTTCAAGTCAGGTGCATCGAATAGCATCGGAAACAAAGTTCACACCTACTTTACATTATCAACACGTGTGAGGAGGAGTATTGGGGCTGTGGGGGCAAAACAAAATCCTGGCAGGTGAAAACATTATGCCAAGTTGCGTTCAATTATGTTGGTAAAAAGTTGAAAGTTCAAGCAAGGTGAGGCTTCATTAGCAATCTCCTGCTGAGAGCTCTTCACGCTGTTTGTATTCAACATCCTAGAACACAAGAACTCCAGCTGTTCCATATTAACTGATTCCAGCATTTAAGACATTTATTCCGAGTGGAAATTGCTGCTCCTGTTGTTAGTCCCAGAGAACATCCGTCTTCATTTTACACAAACTCTCACGGACTGACAACATATGGTCTGATCTATTTGGTAGGATTTACCACTCACTCTCCATGATCATTGTGAGAGATCATTTTCCAGAGCAAAGACTGCATTCTTTCTCTCATTCCTTTCTCTTCACAGATCGTGTTTTATAGCAATTTACAATAAAATTAAAAGTGCAGGAGAAACTCAGCAGATCCGGCAATGATGGAGGAGAAAGAAAGAGTTAACACTTCGAGTGCAAAGAGGAACTGTGAAAAAGAATCTTTGGACTCAAAATGTTAACCGTTCTCCTGCCAACAGAAACTTCCAGATTTGCTGAGTTTCTGCAGCCTGTTCTGTGTTTTATTTCAGATCTCCGACATGGAGTTTTGTTTCAGTCACTAAACTTTGATATATATGTAGAAATTCTGACTATTGCTAGATCTTCTGAAAATCCTTTCACTCTGAATTAACCGACTTAAAACAGGCAGCTAGGTTCACTTTATAAATGATGAGATTTAGCAGTAATGCACAGTCCTGTTGCTGCTAAAAGTGGGGAATGAAGGTGGTAAAGTGGTAATGTCACCGGGCTAGTGTTTCAGATCGGTTCAAATCCCACTGTGTAACTGGCAGGATTTAAACCCAGTTAAAGAAATTTGGAACTGAAAGCTAGACCACTGATTGTTGTTTACAAATCCATCAGTTTACAGAAGCAAATCTGCCCTTTGTACCTGATACAGACTAAATATGACTCCAGACCTAAAACAATGTGGCTTACTCATCTCTGCCCTTTATAAGCCACGCAGTACAAGGCAAATTAGGGATGCGCAATAAATTACCAGTGGTACCCACATCCCACCTTGGAGAATAAACTAGTTACAGAAACATACAAAGGTTTGTCAGTTTCAGATTCTTGATTGTCACCGTTTCATTAAGTGAAACCAGGAACCCTGTATTGGTTACAGATATATTGCATTTCCATAACAAGTGTTGGTCTACAATCATTAGCAAAAATCTGCTGCTGGTTTTAGTTTTATTGACTCGTTAATATTTCTTTTAGATTATTAATAAAGGTTCCCTTCACTCCGACAACCCTAAATATAGTCAGGGCTCCTGGATGACAGTCCACTGCTCATTACAGATGGTGGAAAACCAGTTCCTTTACAGTAAACATATGAAGCTGGACATTATATGGCAGCCGTTTTGTACACCTCCAGCCAACATTATGTTCTGACACATAAAGCATGTCACGCTCCATCACCAATCAGTGGGTCACTCTGGCCATAAATGTTTCATTTAATGTGGCAGCAACTGTGACAAAATTGACACTGATATCAACAGCTTGTTACAAAATAAAATTACAGCACTTCTGTGTTAGGCAGTATCTCACCCAGATTTTCTACATTTGCTGTTGTATGAGGTAATGGTTCTGGAAGAGTTAATGTTGGCGACTGTGTTTAGCTCCACCCAATCTGATAATGTTGTGCAGTTGTAGGTTGGCATAAGGAAGAACACCAATGCCCACATGTCTCCTTACTGTCTTTGTGACCACGTCTGTTTTACCAACGTAACTTGTAGTGGTTTATCATCATGCAATAAACTCCACTAGGGCTTCCCAAAGTTAGTGTCGGGACCCCAAGAGAGGTCACATGTTGAAATTTCAGGGTTGAGGGGTGTGAGCTCTGACACAGCAACGGCTAAACACCCTGCCACCAATTCCCCAACCCCATACATCTTCATCTCCTCCTACCAACCTCACCCTCCCTCCCCATGCCCAGCTCACTCAGCACCGGGGGCAGTGGCACAATTTTCAGCCTCAAAATGGGGTCACAGCAGGACAACACTTGGGAAGCATTGACGCACATCTTATCGAGGATAAAAGCCTTCTCTTTAAGGTTCAGGTGGTGACAGCAAGCAAGCCCTACAAGCTGCCAGTGGTTGGTAACCCGAAACTAAAGTCTTCATTTACATTTCTCACCTGGGCCGGGATTTTTCAGATGGTTTCCCATTCCACATCTTTGCTGGCATTGGCTCTGCCACACTGGTTTAATGCTTCAAGAAGTGTTCATTGTCCAGAGGTGGGATCTCCACCGATAGTTGCTGGTCATTTGTTCTCTAGACCCAAAAACTGCATGTACAATGGAGTACAATGCCCAGCGTGGATGTGTGTGTGTCTGTGCCTGTCTGTATCTGCACGTGTGAGAGTGCCTGTCTGGGTGTGTGTGTGTGTGTGGGTCTGTGTGTGTGTGTGTGGCTGTGTGGCTGTGGCTGTGTGTGTGTGTGTTGCTGTGTGTGTGTGTGTGTGTGTGTGTTGCTGTGTGTGTGTGTGTGTGTGTGTGTGTGTGTGTTGGTGTGTGTGTGTGTTGGTGTGTGTGTGTGTTGGTGTGTGTGTGTGTTGGTGTGTGTGTGTGTTGGTGTGTGTGTGTGT